ATTTCCATTTGTTTTTTCCCATCCTCCTTTTCTTACATCTTCAACAGTAAAGAGAACTTAATGCATATGCTCTAGTCATCACCTTTACTGAACATATCTCATATCTATGTTAGAGGATGGGCAATAAGCAGCTCCTAAATTTCTAGAGCTTCTCACTGGAATTCTTATTACTTCCCTATTTCTCATCATGGTTGATGGCTCAACACCCATAATCACATTTAACTCTTCCCTTAGTTTGGAAGGGCTGCAAAGTAACAAACAGGATGGCTTAAAATAACAGAAGTAACACAAACAGGATGGCTTAAAATAACAGAAATGGATTGTCTCAGAGTTTTAGAAACTAGAATCAAGTTTCCAGCAGAGCTATGCTCCCTCTGAAACCTTCCTCCCTCTGAAACCTGTAGGGGAATCCTCCCTTATCTTTTTCTAGCTTCTAGCAGTTTTCTAAGAACCTTAGCTTATACATGTATCATTCCAATCTGTGATCACATGGCAATCTTCTTATAAGGACACCAGTCATATTCAATTAGGGGCCCTCCCTATTTGCATAACTTTATTTTAACTAATTACATTTGAAATTATCCTATTTCCAAATAAGGTCACATTCTGAGGTACAGAAGGTTATAACTTCAGGTCTCTTTTTTTTTTTTGGGGGGGGGGGGCGGGGGAGGGTGGCAATTCAACCCATAGCACCTCCCTTCAGGAAAAAAAGTGGATGAGTCACTAATCTAGTTAATCTGTCACTAAATCGCCTCAGTAGCTTGCAAATCAGTATCTTCTCTCTCCCAGGAGCCACTCTACTCTTTCCAATTCTCTTCTCCTTCCCCCATCCCCACAATCTGTTCTACTCTCATGGCTTCTACCTTTAATGGTCAACTCTCTACTGGACTACCAAAATAGTATCTTAAACAATCTGGTCTCCTTTACTATGATTTCAATCACCCTTCCCCAAATCATTCATGCTATCACTCAGATGATCTTTCTAAAGTGGAAATCTAATCCCGTTATCCCTCCACTATGACACCAATTGCCCTCTCCCACCCTCTGAGAACAAACACACCTTAAAACTCTTCAGTGGTGTATAGGGGAAATTTATATTAAGCACATAGATTCATTTTTTTTTTTTTTGCTGTTCTATTTTGCTGCTCTCATAAACATTCTAACCCCAGCTTAACCAAGCTGCTCAATGTTTCATCTCTTTGCTTTACATATGCTGATCCTTCTAAAATGCTCTTCTGAAATATCTATTTTATTGTCTTTTAAACTCCCTTGACCCAGAAACAATTGTATACTTTTTTTTGTGCTACTACCCTTTTTATTATGTTCCTCTATAATTGTACTTATTACATGGTGTTTCAATTCTAATATATATCTTTACCTGAAATATCTACCTCAAGGTCAGACATCTTTTGTACCCCTAGCACCTAGTATGTCATCTGTTCCATACTAAATTAAATCTTTAAAAAACTGACAATACCTATTGCTAGAGAACATGCAGGATAACTGGAACTCTCTCTACATGGCTGACCGTAATACAAAATAGTAATGCCACTCTAGAAAATAGTTTAGCTGCTTCTTATGAAGTTAAATATATACTTATGGCATGTTGGACCTATTTTACTCCTATTTAACGAAGATAAATTAAAACAACATTCACACAAACATCTGTACATGAATGTCTGTAACATTTTTATTCATAATTACAAAAAAACTGAAAATCCCAAATGTCCTTCAAAGAGTGAATTAATAAACTGTGGTGCATACAAACAATGAAATATAATCATCAATAAAAAGACACAACAATATGGATATATCTAAAATGCATTATGCTGAGCAAAAAGAAGCCAGTCTCAAAGGTTACAAGTGATATGATTCCATTTGTTGGACATTCCAGAGGAAAATATATAGGGAAGAAATACTTAATAATTCCATATAATAGGGGTCAGAGAAGGAGTTGACTATAAAGGGATAGTACTAAGGGAGTTATGTGGGGGTGATGGAACTGTTCTATGTCCTCATTGTGGTACTGGTTCCAAGAATCCATGAATGGGTACCATTTAACCAAAACTGTATACCATAAATTAATTTTACAGTATTTAAATTTTAAAATAAACAAATACATTGCTTCCTAAGCATCATTGAGCATAAGCTGCCCTTTTCCTCCCATATATCTTAACCCTAGTCTCAAAAGAAGATGACTTTATGTGAGAAAAGTGGAACAGACTAAAACAATGCCTTTGAGTTGGAAATTAAAGAAATTTGCTACAACATTATGGACATTTATCTTAAAAGGCTGGATTATGAGATAATGATCTATAATTTTAGAGAAAGGCAAAATTTTTTTAAATGGCTTGTCTTTCTAGTATTCACCTCTTTCTATAGTACTATGACATAATAATTATATCTTCATGTACTTTGCTTTTTTATGTTTCTATTACAAACAAAAAGATTAAGAAAGTAATTTAATTTTAAGAAGATACACATTTTTTCAGAATTCTAAATCTAAAATGAAAGAAATTAATCAGCTGTCCTTTTTGCATCAAAAGCTCTAAGTGATTAAAAAACTCTCAAATTCTGATGGAATCTAATATTGGGATTAAATCTAAAGGAAAACTAATATATTTAAGGAAATTATATTCAGTATATTTAATACTTTGCACCTGTCTCTGCATGCCTGTTTCTCTTCCATGCCTGCTCCCTTCTGTCTTTTATTGTTTCCTCCCTTTTCTTCTTTATCCTCCCAAACAATCTGCATGTCCTCTTTCTCCCCAGTGCCTTCTAGAAATTTGCCACAAGCTTAAATTATCTAACTGCTTTTAGGAATAATTGCATAAAATATCATTCATTTCAAAGGCCATAAATGAAAATATAACTAATAGTCAAATTCAAATACAGCGGTATTCTCTTCCTAAAACAGGACAATGGGGAATATAAGTAGTATAAAAGAGCATCCTAGTTGAAACCGGTTTGGCTCAGTGGTAGAGCATCGGTCTGCAGACTGAAAGGTCCCGGGTTCGATTCCTGTCAAGGGCATGTACATTGGTTGCGGGCACATCCCTGGTAGGGGGTGTGCAAGAGGCAGCTGGCTGATGTTTCTCTCTCATCGACTTTTCTAACTCTCTATCTCTGTCTCCTCCTCTCTGGGAAAAATCAATAAAATATATTTTTTTAAAGAGAGAGAGAGAGAGAGAGAGAGAGAGAGAGAGAGAGAGAATCCTATATAATAAAAGGCTAATATGCAAATCAACTAATTGGCAGGATGACCAGTCACTATGATGTGCATTGACCATCAGGGGGCAGAGGCTCATTGCAAGAGCTGATCCCTGGTGGTCAGTGCACTCCCACAGCAGGAATGCCTCTCAGCCAGAAGCCCTAAGAAGGGTTCATGGCTGGTAAACGTAGTGGCAGGAGCTTCTTCCACCTCCACAGCAGCACAAGGATGTCTGTCAGTCAGACATCCCCAGAGGGCTCCCAGATTGCGAGAGAGCGCAGGCTGGGCTGAGGAACCCCCCACCCCGAGGCCTGATACATGAAATGCCTACACAGGTAGAGTGGCCTGTCTGGCAATCAGGGCCAATCTGTGGGGCAACCAGCAGGGCAATCAGAGGCCCCCCGCTGGCACTCACTTTGGCTGGCCTTGGGTCTGCAGGCGGGGAGAAGCTCCTGTGTTGAGCATTTGCCCCTGGTGGTCAGTGCACGTCATAGTGACCAGTTATTCCACCAGTCATTATGCCATTAGGTCGAGTTGCATATTAGGCCTTTATTATATAGGATATCAAATTTAAACACTAACACTAACTTAACATTTACTCTTCCAACAGTATGTGTGTCATTCGAATTACAACTTTTGCAATATATTTCATTACTAGTATGTACTTAGAATGCTGAAAAAGAGTTTAATAAAGTCAAACATATTAACAATTAATTTGTAAGGTAAAATATGTGTGTATGACAACAAAAAATAGGGCCCTAACTAGTCTGAATAATTTTGGGAGACAAATTACTATTAATTCTGAAGACTATTGAATGTATACCCTGAATTCCATAAATTTAATTGTCCAAATTAAATAAATAAATAACTTCTCTTTCTTAGGCCTCTGGGCTGAGGTTATGTAAATAAGTCATCTACTGTGATGAAATTATAAAAATCACGTGTTTGAGAAGACAACACTTTTTATACAACAACTGATGGTCTTCTGTATTGTATTGTTTTTGTCTATTTATGAAACAACAATGACCTTTGGGTAAATTCTAAAATGGTGGTATAAGCTACATGCCTATGGAAAAAATAGTTCTATAAAATGTTCTCTGTGAAGCAAGAATGAGGTAAACAAATTGATATTACCTTTCTGCAGCCTTGGTTAACTCACCTAAAATGGCCAAAAATGAAAACATGAAGAAGAAGAGAGGTTGGTGAGTACAAAATGGCACACCCGGTACTGGGAAACACCCCCTATATTACATAGACCTGTGTGTTTATTTTCACAAATATGAATTATACTGAATATCAAAAAGGATACTTTAAAATGTCTAATATCATTCTAACTTCAGAAGCATCCAGTGTTAGAATTTTGGATACTAAGTAAAAATTTATTGAAACATAGGTATTGTTTCAGAGTAGAGTGTAAAAAACTCACATAAGTTTCCAGACATAGAAACTTTTTTAAAAACTAAGATATTTATAATAACATCTTAAACCATCACTTTATAAGTATAAATAAACTTTATAAGTAATAATGTAAGTTTTCATAAATGAAAAAAGTATCATCTCATACTTTTTCCCCTCTAAAAATCAGTCCTTTAAATTGTTCTCATTGTTAGGTAATAATAACAAGTATTTTCTTATACAGAATACATAGAGAATGATAATTCTAAGGTTAATATAAAGTCATTGTCAACTAAAATATAAAATTTAGCAAATACCTTCTTTTGCTCTTAGGAAAAGAAAAATGAATTCTAGGTTTCTCATATATTATTTCATTTGTATAAGATGTGAATTATTATTCTTCTTCAATCCTTTCTGAAACTTGCTCAGCCTTGGGAAAATCTGCTTCATACTTCTTTTTGAGATTACTTAAATACATTCGTAAACTGTCTGAGTCCAACCGAGAGTTTCGAGCAGTTTGAACTAGCCTAGTAGCTAGATGGTACACTGCTCTCTGTCTCTCCATCTCAGGGGTACTTCTTTGACATTGCTATTATTGAAAAAAAAACACATATATATAATTTATAACTTATAAACACATATATAAATATATAATTTAAAATATGACTACTCTGATTCTAATATTTAAAAAATGTTAGTAATTTTCTATATCTTTTAATAAAAATATAGAATTCATGGGTTAGCTAATTCCTTTAAATAAATCAATTCCATCCAATTAGCAAGGATATATGAGAATAGATATATTATTTTGGAGAAGAAAAGTTCTCAAGAATATTTAAAACTTTATGACAGATCCTTATAACCTGAAAATCACCTTTCAATGAAAAGAAAAATCTGCTAAATAGGTCAAGTGTTTCAACACAATACCGAAAGCAATAGAAAATCCACCAGAGTTATGTTCTACAAACACTTTCTCATTTCATGGGAAAAGAGCACTGCTCATTGCTATGCAGTATTCTTAATTTTAATTGTCAACCAAGAGTACCACTCTGTTATCTCCTATTTTAATTTCCCAACAGATAGCTGGTAGAAAGAATGGGTCATCAATAAACTGCTTATCCCTCAAGAGAATTCATACATAGAAACTGCTAGAGCCTAAGAGAAAATACTGCTTGAAAGGCAAATTTCAATTTAAAAATAAGCAACATAGCTACTTAAAATTATGCCTTGACTTTCAATAAACTACTTAAGGATACCCAAGAAATGTTTATAATGGCAATTTTATAATTATTTGTAATATCTTTATATATTCAGCCCCTTTATATACTTCAGGGTTGGAGGTACAGCTGGAAAAATTCTTCGTTCACTTTTTGCCTGCGCTAGATAGGGGAACCAGCATTTTCAATGATAACTGTGTATGCAAAGTCTTAGTGTTTCCCTTTACTAGGGGAAATAAAATCCTTCATTCTTTCTTAATAGCAAGCAATTCCAGATACTTTTCTACTTCCACAATAGGAAAAATAAATACGATTTTGTGAGTAGAATAAGATTATCATATATTTACACATGTACTTATTTAATTCATTGATCAACTATCAATTTATTATCTAAATAAGTTATTGAATATCCATTGTAATCTATAATCTGAGCTCCATAGCTTATGTTTATATCTAGTATAGGTGATACAAAAATGTCTACCTGACATGATAATGAACTCAAGATCAGTCTTATAACGTAAAAGACATATTTATAAGCAACTAATGACATAATTATGATGAGTCCCATTAGAGAATACAAAATGTTCAAATGAAAAAGCTCAGGTCAAGAAAAGTGTAAATATGATAGGATATTTGGAATCAATCTTGATAGATAAGGAAAGCTTAGAAGGGAGAATACTTGTACTCTGGACAAAGAAAACACTTAAGAGAAGACACATTAAAAGCATTTTATACTGATATAATCTTACTAGAGGCCTGATAATCTTACTAGAGACATTAGTGCACTGTGTGTGTGTGTGTGTGTGTGTGTGTGTGTGTGTGTGTGTGTGAGAGAGAGAGAGAGAGAGAGAGAGAGGTGGGGTGGGGGGTGGGGAAGAGGCGGGGGGGGGGGGAGGAAGAAAAGATGAGGAGGAGAGGTCTCTCAGTTTCTCAGCCTGGCCCAGGCAGGGAGCCCTCGGGGGATGTCCAACTTAGACCCGCTCCCTGCAGGGAGGGAGAGTGAGCCTAAGCAGGCAGTCGGACATCCTTAGCGTTGCCCTAGAGACAGGAGAGGCTCCTGACACCTTCACTGCGCTCGTCAACCATGAGCCCAACTTCTGGCTGAGCAGCACTCCCCCTGTAGGAGTGCCCTGACCACCAGGGGGCAGCTCCTGCATTGAGCATCTGCCTCCTGGTGGTCAGTGCATGTCATAGCAATCGATTGTTCCACCATTCGGTCTATTTGCCAATGTCAACCCAATAAATTTAATAGCCAATTTCAACAAAAAAATTTAATTTTTAAATCTTTATAAATGATGATAGATAGATGATGATGATAGATAAAGATAGATAGATAGATAGATAGATAGATAGATAGATAGATAGATAGATAGATAGATAGAGGAAGGGAAGGGAAGGGAAGGGAAGGGAAGGGAAGGGAAGGGAAGGGAAGGGAAGGGAAGGGAAGGGAAGGGAAGGGAAGGGAAGGGAAGGGAAGGGAAGGGAAGGGAAGGGAAGGGAAGGGAAGGGAAGGGAAGGGAAGGGAAGGGAAGGGAAGGGAAGGGAAGGGAAGGGAAGGGAAGGGAAGGGAAGGGAAGGGAAGGGAAAGGAAGGGAAGGGAAGGGAAGGGAAGGGAGGAAGTTATACAATAAGGTGAGAACAACAAAATGACAAGTAATTCAATATGGCAGAAATGTAGGTTATACAGTTAAGTAATGTTGTATAAGACTGGGATAGTAAGCATAGGTAAATTATAAAGTGGTAGTTAAAATGTTGTGTTTTTAAGAATCATCTGAAGAAAAAAACAAACAAAACAAATCCATAGACTCAGACCATAGAAAGTAGTTACCAAAAAAGAAAGGGTTGGGGGAAGATGAAGATGAACAAATATATGGTGACGGATGGAGGCTAGAGTTTGGGTAGAGAGCACACAATGGAATATACAGATTATGTATTAGAGAATTATACACTTAAACCATATATGATATTAAGAAATATCACCCCCAAAAATTATTTTTTAAAAAATCATTTAAAGACTGGTTAAAGATGTATATTCCTGAGCCATGGAAAAACCCTGAAAATCTAGGATGATACCAGCATCCCAGGTAATTCTGATGTAGCGATCCTAGCACTATATTTTGAGAAATTATCATAGAAGACTTTTAACATTAGGCTAAGAAGTTGGACTTTAATTAGTAAGAAACAGGTGGAAGTTTCTGAGCAGGGAGACAACATGATAAGAGCTATATTAGGAGATAATCTGGAAGTATGTAGAAGGGGCTGGAAAAGAGAGAATCCACTAGATAATCCTAATAAGAGGAGATTAAGAAGGCCTCAGGCCCTCTATCTTCAGGGTGTATGCCCATGCCTTTCCCTTCCCAGTCCCTCTCTCCTTTCCCCAGGCTCATCACCATTAGCTTCCTCACTCTCAAGCTCCAAGGGCCCTTTTTTTACTGCTATAAAAAAGAAGATGAAGGAGTCATAGATCACTCTGCTAGGTCAAAGAAAAGAAGAAGAGATTTTAAAGATGATAATTTAATTTTGGACTTATTGAAGAATACAAACATAAATTAAGATTTAAAGAAGTATGGAGAAAATACAGGGTGAGGAAAAAGTAGGTTTATAGTTGTGAGTATAGAAAAAGATATGCAGATTATGAATATTACAATAGCTTTATTAACTCAAAAGAATGTCACAATGGCACATTAAGTCTACTTTTGCCACTCCCGGTATATAATTCAGGGCCAAAAGAAATAAAAATGGAAGCTGAGATGATATCACCAAGAATATAGAGTTTTAAACAAGCAGGGTAAAATCTTAAAAACACTTCCATTTATTGATTGATTGATTGCATATTTTTAAATAGATATTTTTTTCTTTATAAAAGTTTATTATCATTTTTGGGTACCAAACATCAATCTTTCTTTCTTTCTTTCTTTCTTTCTTTCTTTCTTTCTTTCTTTCTTTATTTATTTATTTATTTATTTATTTATTTTTTCAACCTAGCATTTGCTTTTATTTTTTATTTATTTTTTTAAATAAGTTTTTATTGTTCATATTATTACAAATGTTCCTTTTTTCCCCCCCACCATTGCTCTCCTCCACCAGGTTCCCACCCTCTGCCCTTTCCCCACTCCCCATTGTCCTCATCCATAGGTGCACAGTTTATGTTCAGTCTCTTCCCACGTCCCCCTCTCCCCTTTTCCCCAAGAATCGTCAGTTCACTCCCCTTCCATACCTCTGATTCTATTATATTCAACAGTTACTATTGTTCATCAGATTTTTTTTTAATTTCCTTGTTTTTTAGATTCACTTGTTGATAGTTACGTATTTGTTGTTCATAATTTTTATCTTTGTTTACTTTCTCTTCTGAAAGAACCCCCTTCAGCAATTCATATAATTCTGGTTTGGTGGTGATGAACTCCTTTAGCTTTTTTTTTATTAGTGAAGCTCTTTATCTGACCTTCGATTCTGAGTGATAGCTTTGCTGGATAGATTATCTTTGGCTGTAGGTTCTTACTATTCATCACCTTGAATATTTCTTGCCATTCCCTTCTGGCCTGCATGGTTTCTGTTGAGAAGTCAGCTGACAATCGTATAGGTGCTCCTTTATAGGTAACTACCTTCTTTGTTCTTGCTTCTTTTAATATTCTCTCTTTGTCTTTTGCTCTTGGAATTTTAATTATGATTTGTCTTGGTGTGGTCCTCTTTGGATTCCTTTTGTTTGGAGTTCTGTGCGCTTCCTGGACTTGTAAGTCTAATTCTTTCACCAGGTGGGGAAGTTTTCTGTCACTATTACTTTCAGTATGTTTTTGATATCTTGCTCTCTCTCATCTTCTGGGACCCCCATAATTCTGATGTTGGTTCGCTTGAAGTTGTCCCAGAGGTTTCTTACATTATCTTCAATTTTCTGGATTCTCTTGCCTTCTAGCTTCTGTGGAGGAGTGTCTTCTGACACTTTATGTTCCAAATCTTTGACTTGATTCTTGCGATCTTCCCTTCTGTTTTTAGGACTCTGTAAAATATTTTTTATTTCAGACAATGTATTCTTTATTTCTTGTTGATCCCTTATCATTTCTTGTTGATCCCTTATCATTTCTTGATGACTCCTTATTAATTCTAGTTGATCTCTTTTCATATCCTCATAGGTCTTATCCATCTTTTCTAGGAAATTCTTGAAAAACCTTATAAGCGTAGATTTGAACTCTATATCCAGACGCTTTTTGTCCTCCATTTCTTTCGTTTGTGATCTATTTCATTGTTGCATTTCGCAGTTACAGATGGGGCAGGGTTTCAGGGTGGAGCCTGCAACCTTGGCTTCCATCAGGCCCGCCCTATGCGGGTCCTTCAGTGCTCACTGCTGAGAGAAAGGTGCCCTCGATTTTCACCTGCTGCCAAACAGTCAATGCTCTCCTCAATGAGCCCGGTATTGGGGTTCAGTTCAGTTGGAAGTGGAGTTGGAGATGGCGTTCAGAGCAGTCTGGTGCCCCTGTCTCCTTCCCGCCAGGCAATCCGGCAGCACAGCCGGCCGTCCCTTCTCTGAGCGCACTGCGCTCTGTCGCCGGGACCCCCTTTCGCCGCTTCCCCGGGTTCCGCCTTACAGCCCGGCTCCCTATGGCTGAGCCTGGGTCCCTGGGGTCTGGCCTAGCTTGGGTTCAGAGCAGTCAGAATGGGGCCCAGCACAGTCAGAGTTTTATCTCCTTCCCGCTAGGGAAGGCCCGCCAGGCACTCCGCCACCCTCCTCTCCGGCTCCGTCCTCTCCGCGCGCGCCGCGCGTCTCCGTACCTTCGGCTTTTACAGCTCCTCCGCGCTTCCTTCTGGTTTTCTCCTTGCTTCTCGTTGTAGAATTTCCAGTCAGTCAACTTTCCTGTAGTTCTGGATAATGTCCGTTTTATATTTTAGTTGTATTTCATTGAAATTGTTGTGTGAGGCTGCAGCTAGGTATTCACCTGGGCGCAGCCATCTTGGATCCCCTAACATTTCAATCTTTCTTTCTTTTTTTAAATTATTATTTTACTTTTTTTTTTTATTGATTTAAGAGAGGAAGAGAGAGGGAGAGAAATAGAAACATCAATGATGAGAGAGAATTATTGGTTGGCTGCCTCTAGCACTGGGGATGGAGCCTGCAAGCCGGGCATATGCCCTGATCAGGAATAAAACCATGACTTCCTGGTTCTTAGGTCAACGCTCAACCACTGAGCCACACCAATCAGGTTTATTCTTTATTTTTGAAAGTATTACATATGTCTCCTTTTCCCCCCATTATCCTCTCCCAGCCCACCCCTGCTGCCCACCCCAGGCTTTCACCCTTCATTGGTTATACGTATATGCATATAAATTATTTGGTTGATCTCTTGCCACCCCCCGGCTATCTTCCCCTGCCCTCCCTCTGAGATTTGACAGTCTATTAGAAGCTTCTATGTCTCTGGATCTATTTTTGTTCATCAGTGTATGTTGTTCATTATATTCCAAAAATGAGTGAGATCATGTGATAATTATCTTTCTCTGACTGGCTTATTTCACTTAGCATAATGCTCTCCAGTTCCATCCATGCTGTTGCAAATGGTAAGAATACTTTCTTTTTTACTGCAGCATGGTATTCCATTGTGTAGATGTACCACCATTTTTAATCCACTCATATGCTGATGGGCATTTAGACTGTTTCCAAATCTTAGCTATTGTAAATTGTCCAATAAACATAGGGGTGCATATATTCTTTCTAATTGGTTTTTCTGATCTCTTGGGAAACAGTATGAAGTTACCTCAAAAAATTAAAAATGGAACCCTCATTTGACATAGTAATCCCACTTCTAGGAATACATTCTAAGAAACACTTCTATTTAATCCTTTTCTTCACTGAAATCAGAGAGAGAGAGAGAGAGAGAGAGAGAGAGAGAGAGAGAGAGAGAGAGAGAGAGAGAGATAGTTTAAGAAATAAGATTTTAAAAAGGATTTCTTAGGGGGGGAAAAAACTAAGCATAAGCATATTCATGGGGTGGGGGGGAGCCAGAGAAAGGAAGGAAGAAAGAGAGAGAAATATCAATGATGAGAGAGATTCATTGACCCACTGCCTCCAGCATGCCCCACAGTGGGGACTGAGCCCAAAACCCAGGCATGTGCCCTTGACCGGAATTGAACTGGGTCTCCTTCAGTCCACAGGCTGACGCTCTATGCACTGAGATAAACCAGGTAATGTTTAGTTAACATCCTAATAAGGTTGGAAAAAAGACCCCAAAAAAGTTAATTAAAAAAAAAGTTGAAAGATAATCTTTTCTGAGATAAGAGGGAACAAAAATGAATGAAAAAGGAAATCCCAAAATAGAATTTTTAAGGAGAATAAGGAGAAACAGTTCAAGAACTCATCAAGATGACCTTACATCTCACAAAAAATATAGAAGATGAATTCTCTGTGGAGAGTGAGGTTGAGGGCTTAGGAAGAATAGAATCATTTTGAAAAAGTTACTGTAAAGAAACCATACTGATCAATAAAAAGGACAGAAAAAAACTATACAGTAAAATACTCAACATATGAATTTATAGTGGAAAAAATTAGCTTGGCTTGAGTATGTTTTAACATCATTTGGAAAGCCCAAACTTAGAAGACTATTAAAGAAATTGCCCATAATTAAAGTGGTTCTTCAGAAGTAGAGCACTGCCAAAATTACTGGTGAAGGGATTCAAATGGGGTTAATTAGTAAAGTCACAAAGACGGTCTAACACCTCAAAATACTGAAGAATGCAATAAACACTGAAGGCAGATTAAGAAAGTATGAAAGACACAGGTAACTTACTACTGAAGAAAATGTCATACTGCTTCTAGCTCAGTTTACTAAACATACTGGATTCTTAAAACAATATAAAGCAATCTGATATTAAAAAAAAAAAAAAAAAGATTTCCAAATTTTGTGTCAACAGATATGAATTCAGTGTTGGCTACTGCTTCCTAGCAAATTATTTAACCTCTATGAACCTCAACTGTAAAAATGTGAGTAAAAATAATAGTGTTTTTTTATATTTTATTAGACAGACCTAACTGCTTAAATAAAGAGTTATGAAGCTTAAACAGGATGATAGTGGAGCTTTTAAAACTATTTTTAAAAAGATTTGAAATGTTGTGCATAGTTTTTTACTTTTAATGCTTATTTTATACTGGTGCATGGATTCATGCATATTGAAAAGAAATTAATTAGAAGGAATATTTTTATATCGCTATTCGCCCTAAGTTTCAACCAAATTCATGATTGACAATGACAGATCAAAACACACACATGTGATTGGCACCAGTGAGAGCTTTATATGTACCATGCATGCACGAGTCAACTTAGTCTTTTATATATAGAGAATAAACTTGCTTAATTGTACCTGCTTTCTGATGTAGCTAAACTTTTTCCAGCCCATTAAAGCACCCCAACTTCTCTTTCAGGTAATTGTTAGCAACACAGCAGTAAATATCAACATGAAGCAGATTATTATTGTAGATCACTCAGGGAGAATAGAGGGTAAAGTATTTAACTGCAGCAGTGTTTGCTATATTATGCACAGTGAGAAAACCTGAAGTCATTTTCAAGGTCCACCATTCCTTACTTCTTTTCAGTCGGGTCAAGTTTCTAAGCTTCCTAAATCTCCATTTTCGCCGAAACCAGTTTGGCTCAGTGGTAGAGTGTCGGTCTGAGGACTGAAAGGTCCAGCTTCGATTCCGATGGTTGTGGGCACATCCCCGGTAGGGGGTGTGCAGGAGGCAGCTGGTTGATGTTTCTCTCTCATGGACATTTATAACTCTCTATCTCTCTCCCTTCCTCTCTGTAAAAAATCAATTTAATATATATATTTTTTAAAAATAATAAATCTCCGTTTTCTGGCTAATGAAAAGAAAATAGGATTCTACCGAGTCTCCTATCTACCTACTTCAAGACTTCTGTTAGGATCAAATAAGATAAGGCATGGGAAAATGCTTCACAGACAGCTTTTTATATGTATAGATAGCTTTATTTTCTCATCATAAAGTTGACGTTGTAATAAATACTATAGAAACTGAACTGTTTAACTTTTGTCTCCTATTATATTAGGTGATTTAATGGGAAATGTTATAATGATCCAAACCAAAAATTTTTTGAGAAGTAAAGAGGATTATTTAAATATTTTAATTATTATAGACTTAAATCCAAGGACATTATAAATACACACACTCAAAGTATCCTTGAATTTGAAAAAAAAAAAAAACACACAAAAAAACAAAAAAAAAACACAATGCAATTCTTATTGCTAAAAATTTTCTTACCAAAATTTGTCTGGTAATTTGAGTTGTGATTTCTTTGGCATCTGAGACAATTGATGGTGGGAGTGATGACACCTCTGCAGCTTTTAATCCTAAAATTATAAGCAATGCAGCTTTAATATTATTCTTAATAATATCATTAGGTTTCTTTTAACCAGTATTAATCTTTTCTTCAGATATTTAAACTTCTATTCATGTACATTTCTGAACTATTAGACAATTCTCAAATTAAATTTTCCAAAGTTCAACTTACTAATTATTATATTTAATTACATATGCAAGATATATTAGACATATTAGATAAATTATCTCTGAAGATATCTCTGTAATACAGGAAAACATGTTAGGAAAGGAAAAGGAAAAGAGGCGATTAGAAAATTGAATAATAGTAAGAACACTGACTAGCTACAAATGCAGTTGGTAAGAGAAGGTCCAAGTATATATAAGTTTTGCAAGGGAGGAGAATGTGTAGTCATAGAGATGACCATACAGTTGAATGTTCCTCTAGCTAGCAGAGCAATGAGAGAAGAATTTCTCAGAACTTATAATGGTAGGTGATTACTCTTCATGCAAACTCAAGTTCTCAGAGTTTAAATTTACTGTATAAACTAGAGACTAGTGCACGGAAATTCATGCTAGGGTCTCGACCCTGGCAGCCCCAGATGCTGCATCGGCCCCACTCCCCACTCATGGAAAGTCATTCTGCAAGGTCGTTCTGCTGTCCGGTCTAATTAGTATATTAGCTCTGTATTATATAGGAAGCCATATATACTTTCTACTGTGTGCTAAAAATGTATTGTTTTTATTCTTTAGAGGCAATAGAAGCATACTAATATTTACTTAGAAGTTAGTAATTGCTAGGCATTATAGTAATTCGTATTTGATCATTTAGTCTTCACAAGCCCACATTTGTGGAAAATTATGTCATTTAGTGGGTAAGTTGAGGTTTATAGAGATTGAACATCTGATACAAATTAAGCTATCCTTTTGATTTCCTATTTCAAATGGTAAGAAAAAGAGGATGCTTTCCCCCCCCTCTTATAAGGGTCACATTTACAGCTAAAATAACTTTTGGAATGTTGTACGTATAGGTCAACTAAAAATTCTCTGAATCCATGCGATTTCACACATGTCAAAAATAATGTAGAGGGAAAAATATGTAATCTAGTGTATGAATATCATATGCTTTGGTAATATACCCCATTACTTTAGATTTAATTATCAAGTTCCTGGACTCTGAAGAACACAGAAAAAGAACTCCAGTACTGAAAAGAGTGTAAGAAATACATAGTTTTTGATTCATTATATAACTTGCAAATATAAACTAAATTACATTTTCTTAGGGATAGACACTAATACTTCTGGGCCTTCATGTGTTATAATTTTAGTTATTGGTTAATATAAGTTTAAAAATAAACATATCAAATACAAATTTGACTTATAAAATAGTTTTAGAGCATATAAGCACTCAAAAGAATGAGAGTGAAAGTTACTGAAATTGACAGCCAAGTAAAGGGGAGAAGAAAAATATAAGAGTTTCAGTATATAAATAAAATTTATGTATTACCATAATTTTTTTCTTCTGTGAATCCCTTAGAAAGTTTGTACGTATACAAGATTGTTTCTTTATTCCTTGAGGTATTCTTTACATGTTGAACTTCAAAATGCATGTTTTCTACATTAGGATACAAGACATCTATATGGCATAATTCCAAGAAATGTGTGGCAAACAGTGTAAATGCCTAGAATACATAATAATGAATTTTAATACTTTTTAATGGATGAGAAAATTCTATTTTAACAACTTAAACATAAATTTAATTCTGTTTCCAAGTAGCTTAGCAGAAATATAGGAATGAAACTAATAACTTTAAGTCTAATATGATCAACTCATTTTTAAATGTTTCAAAAATTTACACTCAAGAAAGAACATGTATATTATGTTTACACATTCACAGTTATGTTACAATATGGTAAAGAAAACAAATCCAAAAATTAAATCCTAAAAAAAGAGTCTAAAGATATTGAAAAGGTAAAGTTTATCAGAAATAAAGCTATTAACTTAGGTAATCATTTATTAGAGAAATAATCCATAAACAAAATTATAATATTTCTCTCAACTTTAAAAAAAACTACTTTAAATATATCTTCCTTCCATCTACATAGTTTGTGAACAATGGAATCAATGGATAGTCTTAGGTATTTGAAATTGCAAAGTTTTTAAGTGTGTGTGTGGTTTTTTTAATATATTTTTATTGATTTCAGAGAGGAAGGGAGAGGGAGAAAAGGACAGAAACATCAATGATGAGAGAGAATCACTGATTGGCTACCTCCTGCATGCTCCCCCCACCACCACACACACACACACACACATTGGGGACTGAACCCGCAACCCGGGTATTTGCCCTGACCAGGAATCAAACCTTGATCTCCTGGATCATAGATCAATGCTCAAACACTGAGGTATGCTGGCCAAGCAAAGCATTTAAGTTTTTAAGAAAATTGCTTAGGACAATGATTCTCAAACATTAGTAATCATCTGGGGAGCTTGTTATAGGTGCACATTCTTGGTGCTTTTCCCCCTAAATTCTCAATCAGAAGCGGTAATGTGGGGCCCCAGGAAACTGTATTTTCCCTAATTTGATGGAGGTAATTCAAATGACTTATGACCAGCCCATGGTTTTTCTTTTCTTTTTTTAAAATATATTTTATTGATTTTATACTGAGAGGGAGAGAGCTAGAGAGTTAGAAACATCGATGAGAGAGAGTCATCAATCAGCTGCCTCTTGCACACCCCCTACTGGGGATATACCCGCAACCAAGGTACATGCCCTTGACCGGAATCGAACCCGGGACCCTTCAGTCCCCAAGCCGACGCTCCATCCATTGAGCCAAACCGGTCCCGGCCAGCCCGTGGTTTCTCACCCAGAGTTATTAAAGCAGATAGAAATTCGAGTAGTTGATTATGTTTAAGACATTACCAGTGAGCAACTAAATAGGTCATTAGTGGAAAATTATAATATTGAGACATTAAAAATAATTGATGGGCAAATGGATATCAACTATGGAAAGGGGTGGCAAGATATAACAACTTATGTCAGCTAAACGTGGGAATATTGTAACATACGCCCTATACCACTGGATCACTAGAATCAGTGATCTGAAATTTTACTGAGATAGAAGGCTCCTGTACTTCTGTCAGATTTATTTCCCCCATCTGACACAGAGATGTCTTATCAATAAATCTAAAGTAGTTGCTACTTCTTGCTTACCAGATCAAATCATTATAATGTTATCAATGTAATGGACCAGTGTAGTATCTTATGGCAGGTTAAAGTGATCAAAGTCCTTCTAAACGAAATTATGACATAGAGTTAGAGAGTTGATATACACCTGAAGTTGGAGGTGTATTGCTGACATTGCCAGCTGAAAGCAATCTGTTTCTGGTGGTCTTGATTGACAGATATAGAGGGAAAAAGCATTGGCTAGACCAATTAGCTGCATACCAGGTACCAGGGGATGCACTAATTTGCTCAAGCAGGGAAATCTCATCTGATATAGCTGCTGCAATTACCACATGGTTAAGGTTATGATAATCCACTGTCATTCTCCAAGATCCATCTGTCTTCTGCACAGACCAACTATGTGAGTGAAATGGAGAAGTAGTGGAAAACACCACCTTTGCATCTTTCACCTCTGCACCTCTTCTAACCACAGGATGGGCTGGGAACCCACTGGGCCCAGTATGAGATAGATCTGAGCTAAAACTTCATTTGTCACCAGACTATGATAAACTCCCTGCTCTGACTGGTAGACCACAGTGATGTTTTGAGGCTCCTGGAGTTAGTCAGTTCGGAGCTAGTGTCCAGTAGTTCTCAAAATGTCTGATTATTTTCTTTTTCCTCAAGACACAGTTACCCTGATAAAAGGGCATACGTCTTTTTAGAAAAGGTTGGGAGAATGAGTAAAAGTCAATTCTAGAAACCCTAGAACCAATTCAGAAAGTTCATCCTTAAAATTCTGATCCTTTAGAAACACTCTTGATACTAAAATCTGTATTATTCAAGTTTCCCCTAAGAAACAAAATAGGGACGTGTGTGTGTGTGTGTGTGTGTGTGTGTGTGTGTGTGTGTAGAGAGATCATCATAATAAAAAAGCTAATATGCAAATAGTCATTAAGCCCTCACAGCAGGGACCTGAGAATGTATGGTGCCAGGCCCAGGCGGGGCAGGGGACCTGAGGCTGCTACCCCCCCCCGCCCCGCCCACCCTGATGCCAGGATGTGAGGCCGTGTCTCCCACCCAGCGGGGCTTGATGTGGGTGGGGCCGGCTAGGTCTTGGGATTGCCCAATGGTGGTGGGGCCAGACAGATACTTCTATTATAGAAAAAGGGCAAATAGCAATATTAAAATATTTCCTCTAATTAATTCTCTTTTAATGTGCATGAATTTTGTGCACCGGGACACTAGTTTATTATAAGAAATTGGTGACTGGTGTGTTGATTATGGAGGCTAAGTCCCCAGATCTGCAATCAGCAATAGACTCAAGAGAGCTAATGGTATAATTCCAGTCCAAATGTTGGCAGGCTGAAGACCCAGAAAGAGCTAATATTTCAGTTTGAGTCCAAAGCAGGAAGAAACCAATATCCCAGGATGAATGAAGGCAGTCGGGCAGGTAGAGTTAACTCTTGCTATCAGGCCTTTTTATTTTATTCAGGACTTCAACTTGACCCTATTCAAAACTGACTGAATGAGACCCATCCACCCTGGAGAGTGAAATCTGCTTTACTTGTACCAATCCAAATACTTACCTCACAGAACCAGTCTCACAGATGCACCCAGAATATTGTTTGCCCAAATGTCCCTGGGATACTCTGTATCCCAGTCAAGTTAACATAAAATTAATTATAGTAATTAGCTTTTAATCCTCACAAGTAACACACATCTTTCTTATATAAAAAATTCTGATCAAGTGACATCTTTTCAAAATTATAAAAACTAATGTTATCCAATGTTACTTTTGACTCATCATATAACTTTTAAGTATAAAATAATATTTTTCTCATTCTCTATAATTAATCATTATGAACTCTCATTTAAGGTATATTAAGGTATAATAAATCATTATAGATTCCCATCTTAGGGATGTTTTAAGAGATTTTAAAAATGGGAAAATATTTTTATTTAAGTTTTTTCATATCTGAATATAATTTGAATGATGATCTAAAAGGTACTTCACAAATTTGCTTAATAATAGAGCAAAATTCATAGCTTGTTTTATATAATTGATTTGTGGGAAAAAACATTTTCTTTAAAGGAATAGACTGTCGGGTAAAATAAATTTTCCAAAAAGTGACCTCTAATGCCTAGTTCTATTTCATGCTGTGACATCACAGTCAATGCTGTTCCACATGGAGACAATTGCTGAAATGTTTTCATGTTTCACAAGTGACTAGTTTTAACATTATTTGTGTTTTTTATTTGCTCCTTTCCTTATCTACATCATGAATATTGATTGTACCAACCATTCCTCCTTTCATCAGAAATAATACATATATGTATATATGTATATACATAACTTTTCATTATCTAAAATTGTTTAAAGAGCTACTTAAAGGTGCCTGTAAAATACAATCATAATAAGTTTATAAAGCACACATCAAAAAAGGGCTCAAAACTAATATACTTAAAATAGAGAATACCTTTAAACTCAGCAGATATTCACAAACAGCATAACAAATGCCAATACCTTCTTCTGTATTAGTACCTCTGCCAAGTTCATCAATTAATATGAGTGATTTGTCGTTAACATTATGGAGAATATATGCTATCTGAAAAATATAATTTTAATATTATTCACTATAACCAAAGTTATAACTATCATAGAAAAAATCCAGCTCTTTATTAGTTAATCTGAAATATATTTTTAAAGAGAAATTCAACTGAGCAGAAACTAACATTTTGTGTTCTAAAAATCTCATGACCAATAACTCCAATAGCATAGCTGATGTGTACATAGATATAAGCATAGTGTAAAAAAGAATAAATAGACAAAAGAATAAATAACCAGCATCTAAAAAATGTTGACATTTTAGATATAGTGGAACAAGCAAAGCAATGAATTAAATGTTTAAATAAAGCATAAAGATGGTCATTTTCTTCTCCACAAATGATTAATCAATTGTCATAAAATACTCAAAACTATAACTCAAATTAATTGTAACTTCTTTATAGCCTGTAAAGATGAAAGAAAAATTTTGGGAAAAGCATCCAATCCAAGTTCATTGATTCCTGATTAAACAAATAAATTTAAGTCCATGCCCAACAAAGACCAGGACTTTAATTAACAAATATGCTCCTTCTCCACTGGAGATTATTAACCTCCTTCTCAAAATCAGAATACCACCTTTGTTATGTATCGGGTCTAGTAATAATTAATGTCTTTTTTTAACATTCGTTTAAAATCTTGCTTGGCGTTGACTTGTATTGACATAACCTTCAAACACGTGGTATCTACAGAACGTGTGAAGTGCAATTAACAAGTTTTGCTTGAAAAAGTTTGTGTTTGGTTTGGTTTTTGTTGCAAAATTAGGGCTAAGAAGATGGCGGATGAAGAGCATATTCAGCACTGCATGCTTTATGAGTTCCAATTAGGAAGAAAAGCAAGTGAGGCTGCAAAAAACATCTGTAGTGCTCTTGGTCAAGATGCAGTTAGCGCCAGAAAATGCCAGCGTTGGTTTGAGAAATTTCGCGAGGGAAATTTTTCGTTAGATGACAAGAGTGGTCGAGGCCGTGTGTCCAATTTTGATCAAGAAGCTCTTCAAGCTCTTTTGGTGCAAAATCCTCAAATTACCCAACAAGAGCTTGCGACAACTTTAAATTGTTCACAAAAAACAATTTCCAATCAATTGCGTGCACTTGGCAAAGTCCAAAAGTTTGGAAAATGGGTTCCTCATGAGTTGACCGACAACAACCGAAATCAAAGAGACACAATTTGCAGTTCGCTCCTCTCTCGTCAAAACCGTTCGCTGTTTTTAGAGCAAATTGTTACCGGAGATGAAAAATGGGTGCTGTGTGTTAATTTGAAAAGGCGGCCTCAATGGTTGGACAAAAATAAGGCTCCGCAGCCCACGCCAAAACCTGACTTGCATGCGAAAAAAGTGATGTTGTGTGTTTGGTGGAATTTTAAAGGAATTCTTCATTATGAACTTTTACCATCTAACCAAACCATTACAAGTGCAGTGTATAGTGCCCAATTGGAAAGGTTAGCCCAAGCTTTAAGGGAAAAAGAACCCGCGCTGATTAATCGGAAGGGCGTAATTCTTCACCACGATAACGCACGACCGCATACTGCAAGAATCACGGCTGAAAAACTGTGCCAGTTGGAATGGGAAGTTCTCCCTCAACCTGCATATTCTCCTGATATTGCCCCTTCCGATTACCATTTGTTTCGTTCTTTGCAAAACTTTCTTCTTGGAAAAAAATTTAATAATGAAGAATGCCTCAAAAATGCATTGACCGAATTTTTTGCATCAAAATCACAAGAATTTTACAACAGAGGGATTAAAATGCTTCCTGAGCGTTGGGCACAAGTAGTAGAAAACAACGGCAACTATATTGTTGATTAAATTTTGTTGTATTGTTTAAATAAATTCAATTTAAAAAAAGTATTAAGAAAACGACATTAAGTATTACTAGACCTAATAATAGCACAATTAGTAACCTTCATGGCCATTTTACCTTGCTATAGTACTAAGCTTCTTGAGAGCTAGAACTATTTAAAAATATAATGTAAGCCCAGCCAGAGAGGCTCAGTAGCTGAGCACTGACCTATGAACCAGGAGATCACAGTTTGAATTCTGGTCAGGGCACATGCCCAGGTTGTGGGCTCCATCCCAGTATAGGGCATATAGAAGGCAGCCGATCAATGATTCACTCTCATCATTGATGTTTTTCTCTCTCTCTCCCTCTCTGAAATCAATAAAAATATATTTAAAAATAAGTGATATATTCCATTAAAAAATAAATAATAAAAATGTAACCTGGAACACCTAATACATTGCTATTTTATCCCATAGATATTCAATAATTTTATCTGTCTACAGAAAATTAGCCAACTGTATTATGATTCAATAATTCCTAACTATTAAAAATAGGGCAAGGGCTATACTGAATTTCTTTAGCCCTTTAAGCCTACTTGAGATTTGCTCAGATCAGAAATAGGTGATGATATATACTTTATTTTACAGGAAATGAAAATTCCATAAAGGCACAAAATATGGGATGATTTTTAAATGCAGAAATCTTTTATTTTCAAACTAAACTTACGAGGAATAATAGATACTATGCAAATTGTTCCTGAACAGGTCATTCATACCTCCCATTCAAAAACATGAATGCATGTTTTTATCATTCAATAACACTAGCTTTTTATTTAAAACTGTATTTTTCCATAAAACATTAATTTTCATTTCCACATAAGAAAGAAATTAGGAAGCTGTCTTTTACTGCCCTCTGGCTCTTGCAGGGTAGTATAAGCACTTTTGCATGTTTTAGTTTAAGAATACTTTCTTACATGTTCATTGACTGTTAGCAGCAGAATTCAATTTTTTTTTAACATAAGAAAAGTTTAGTTTGGGTACCTCTTTCATTTCCTTCATAAAAGTTGATGAATTTGTTTCTATATCATCATCAGTACTGATTCTTGTAAAAATCTGTTCAGCAATTCTAAAGGAAGAATATTCTGCTGGAACATATGATCCTTTAAAATATAAGATCAAAATAAACTGAAAATATTTTTGTAAAATATAATTACTAACATTTTGTACTTTCCACCACCTCAGGTTATTTACTAGTTTGCCTAAGGATTATATGGTGGGGAAAAAACACTAAATATGGAGTTAGAAAACATGGTCCCAGCTATGTTATTTATTGTATAACCTTGGACAGCACTTAAATTTTCCAGTCTTTTTCATATATAAAATAAAATATTTGCCCTACCTATTATCCAAAGTTATTTGGAAGTTCAAATAAAATAGTGTATACTCAAGTAGAAAGGTTTGTTATAAAAATGATAACATTTTTAAATAATAGATGATAAAGAACATTCAAAGTATGAAAATTTGAGGGAAATGCTTATAAAGCAAAAGTTGATAAAATCAATATAGAAAAAATATTTTAAATATCTGTTAGTAAAAATGTACAGAAATACACATAATACGAATGAAAGCAAAATACTTCTTTTGAAAGTTGAATATTCATTTATAAGATGATTTCTGCCTGAGAAGTGATCAGGGTGACTAATCTAAAATATTCATCCTTTTTTAGCCGAGACTGGTTTGGCTCAGTGGATAAAGTGTCGGTCTGTGGACTGAAAGGTCCCGGGTTCGATTTCGGTCAAGGGCATGTACCTTGGTTGTGGGCACATCCCCAGTAGGGGGTGTGCAAGAGGCAGCTGGTCGATGTTTCTCTCTCACTGACGTTTCTAACTCTCTATCCCTCTTAATTCCTTTCTGTAAAATCAATAAAATATATTTAAAAATAAATAAATAAAAATAAATAAAATATTCATCTTTTTTAAAAACAATTCTGATTGATACAACTAATTCTCTATGAAATAGCATATAAAAGGCATTCATAAATCATAAGAAGAAGATAAAAATATACAGAGAATTTAAGGGAAAAGTATCAAATATACAGAATTCTATATAGACAAAATGGTGAAAGAATGGGAGTAAATAAAAACACAGCTACACTAGTATTAATTAAGGATTTAAAACAAAGGTAAGGATGGAGAATATGTCCCACCTCCGAGAAATAAGGAGTAGTAGGAAAAGAAAGCAAAAGTCAGGATACTATTTCTACTATTACTATTAATAATAACAATAGTAATTATAATGATTGCACCTCAGAGAGCAGATTTCTTAAACATAATTTATAGGATTATCAAAAGGATTAAATGGGGAAATAAATGTGAAAACACCAAATACAGAATACAGCATATTTAATGTATGTTTATATTTTTTCCTCTCTCTTATCACCATCAAAAAGGCCCCAATATTTTTCATCTAAATTACTACAGAAACCTCCTGGCTGATATTTTGCTTCTGGTCTGGCTCTCATCTAATCATACATCAACCAGAGTGATCTATCTTAAAGTTAAATCCAATCATGCCATTCTCTTGCTTAAATTTTAATAGCTCCCTACAGATTTTTGGATAAAGTTCAATCTTCTCAGTTAAATTCCTAAGACTCTCATGATCTGACTCCTTCCTGTACATGTCCCCAGTTTTTGTCCCTGCTATAGTACAATACAAAGACTTTGGACTCCTTACAGTTTCTTGGGAATACCATACTACTTTTTTTTCTTCTATGCTTAATAACATGTTCTTTACCTCTGCCTAAAAAGTCTCCTCTTTCCTTGAATCCATATCACTGTATAACCCATATCTCAATCTTTACAACTATTCTCAGTAGTATTATAATTTTCATTTACAGACAGGAAAACTAAGGAGGGTATTGTCTAAGATCACAATAACTAGTAACTTGACAAGCTTAGTTCCAAAGCCTATGTTCTTCACTTCCATGTATTCTTTATTATTGGATCATATGAAATATTACACACACACAGACACACACACATACTTTAGGTATTTCAGAAGTTTAAAATAGTGACAAGAGCCGAAACAGGTTTGGCTCAGCAGTAGAGCGTCAGTCTGCGGACTGAAAGGTCCCGGGTTCGATTCCGGTCAGGGGCATGTACATTGGTTGCGGGCACATCCCCGGTAGGGTGTGTGCAGGAGGCGGCTGGTCGATGTTTCTCTCTTATCGACGTTTCTGGCTCTCTATCTCTCTCCCTTCCTCTCTGTAAAAAATCAATAAAATATATTTTTTTAAAAATAAAAAATAAAATAAAATAGTGACAAGAGAAGTACAATAATTTTCTTCAAATATTTGATTAGTTATTATTAGGACAGATTATTCTGTGATGCATAGAAGATAAGGATTAGGACCAATGAGTAGAAGCTATGTAAGTCAAATTTCAATTCAATATAATTAATGCTCGAACATTTAGTGCTGTCCAATAATTGGATAGTCTGCTTTTTAAAAGATGGAGCTTCTCATAACTATTCAAATACAAGTAGGGTGATGTTACATATGAATCTCTATTCTTTTTTTCTTTTTTTTCTTTTTTTTTTTTTTTTTTTACAGAGAGGAAGGGAGAGGGATAGAGAGCCAGAAACATCGATGAGAGAGACTTCGATCAGCTGCCTCCTGCACACCCCCTACCGGGGATATGCCCGCAACCAATGTACATGCCCTTGACCGGAATCGAACCTGGGACCTTTCAGTCTACAGACCGATGCTCTATCCACTGAGCCAAACCGGTTTCAGCTGAATCTCTATTCTTATAAGGAAAGGTAAGTTGGTTGAGATGTTCTTTTAATTCCACTAAAACAATAATAAATATTTACCATTACCTCATTCATTCATCTCCAATTTTCTTTCTCAGTAAGGGTAAATTTGCATGTATCATCAATATTATTATTGCTGTGTTGCCCTTATAATTATTACTTTAGACCAGGGTTTCTCAAACTCAGCACTTACTAACATCTTGGGCTGAATAAGTCTTTCTTGTGTTTGTGGAGCGGATGTGGGGAGGGAAGCTGTCCTGTGCATTGTATGATGTTTAGCAGTGTCACTAGACTCTACATCCCCTCAGTGGTGAAACCAAAAATGTCTCCAGATATTGTCAAATAACAGGAGGAAGAAAAAACAAATCACCCCTGGTTGAGAACCAATCATCTTTCTCTGATTCATATAATCTCAAGAAAACCCATTTTTCAGAGACAAGAGGGAAACTGTGGTTCTACACCAAGAAATATGTGACAACATTGGACCAGTGACAGCCATTTATATGCATGTGTGTACACGTGTGCGTAATATCTCAATTGTTATGGACAAGCAATTGATAACCCTTAAATTAAGTAAGGGAAATGCTTATCTGACCAATGTTATAAATTTGGAAAAATCTTATATGTGCTATTAAAGGCAGTAGGTTATGCTACTTATGTTACATTTTCTCACAACAAAATTTGTTTTTAATAATTAGATTATTCATTTTAGCAATAATTAATTGAACATAAATAGTTATAGTAAGGAAGTCTCTACTTCTGTTATATTTCACAAAATTTTTAGTATAATCCAATCCAAAACTGGATGAAGCTTAATAAATACCAAATACTAAAAGTTATGGTCAACATACTGCACACTACTATAAACTTTTAGGTAAGAAAATCTATTCCAACTGTTCTTGGGTTGGCACCTGGATCTAAAATAACAGGCAAAAAATATTAAAAATGGGAAGCAGAAATGGTAACTACAAAATAAGACATAACTTACCAATCTGGGCCATAATCTGACAAAGTGCAATCTGTTTTAAATATGTGGATTTCCCACTCATATTTGGTCCAGTAATGATCAAAAAATTACTCCCTTCTGTAATATAGGTATTGTTAGCAACAGGTTTATCCACAGATATTCTTTCAAGAATAGGATGCCATCCTTGTTTGATTGCTAAAGTATCAGTAAACTCTGGCCGAACTAAAGAAAAAAAATAGAATAGTTTTTTAAATAATAGTTTATATTTATATTTTAAAATTATGTGATAAGCACATACTATGACACCTTAGTAATTTTACTAGGGTCAATTCTGAATAGTAACATTAAGGTATTATTTTATCCCAAATTTTACATATATATATATATATATATATATATATATATATATATATCTCCATCTAAATTATAACTGACACACTCTAAACACCATCACTTTTATTCACTTCCAATGAACTCTAGGATTTAGTTTCCTGTCATCCTAGACCCCAAAAGAGTTCATGACATTTTCAGATTTGTATATATTAAGAAGAATCAACTAGTAAGATGGTAGTTTTAAAGTAACAATCAATTACTGGTACTACAAAATTGTACATTACTTAACCCCCAACTTAAGCATTATTTCAAATCTGGCATACTTAGCTTTTTAAAGGAGGTATAAATATAGAGTAAAACTAAGTATAAAAATAATTTTATGTCCAAACCCTTATAAAAATTGTATCTAAATTGAAATCTCAAAGGCTAGAGAAAACTTACATAAAATATATTATTAATTTATAGAAACGTTTTGTGGTAAAGGAAGAAGGTCAGAGAGATATAAAATGTTACATTCCTCTAGATCAGTGTTTCCCAAAGTTTTGACATATGTGTACCCCTTCTATAATTTTTGTAACGGTGAGTACCACTCTTACTCATGAGAACCTAGAATTAGGCGCAGCTAAGCACGGTGAAGTACATATCTACACCAAACTCCGGTGCAACACTTACCCCCACCAATTATTTTTTAAATAATTTCAAAATATTTTTACATCCAAAATTCATTATTCAAGATGGTCCCTTTCAAATTAAAATGAAGCAAGATGAAGTATCCTAACAGCTAAGAAAACTACTATTTAAGATTAGCTGATCTGCCGAAACCGGTTTGGCTCAGTGGTAGAGCGTCGGTCTGTGGACTAAAAGGTCCCGGGTTCGATTCCGATCAAGGGCATGTACGTTGGCTGCGGGCACATCCCCAGTAGGGGATGTGCAGGAGGCGGCTGGTTGATGTTTCTCTCTCATCGACATTTCTGGCTCTCTATCTCTCTGCTTTCCTCTTTAAAAAATCAATAAAATATATTAAAAAAAAAAAAAAGATTAGCTGATCCCTAAGGTTAGTCTTTGAACCAAAAGGAAATACAAAAGATTGAAAAATTTGGGTCTATGAAATAACAACTTAAAAAGTTAATATTTCAATAAAAATATGGAAATATGAAAAAAATCTTTATAAGATATTTATTTCTCATCACGGAAATAAATAAGCATAACATTTTGGAAATGTTACTGCTAATTATAGGAAAAAATTTTAATATTAATGTTGTTAAGTTCATAATTATTCAACCTTAATTATAACATACTAGTTCTGCAAATTTGTATACTGGAGTATGGCTATTGCTGATGAATTAAATAAGAAATTTCAAAGGGATAACTTGAAGTATTCATTTAACATTAGCAAATTACTTAACATTTATATTAAAAAATAAATGATATAATTCCTGATCCTGGGAAGCTCACTTCTAAAAAACTAGTTTAGAAAATGCTCACTTTGGAGATTCATTTCTCTCATGTCTATTAGCATTAGTCACACTGCTTTTAATGAGTCTTCAAATTGAAACTTTATAAATTTGGGTCATTATCATTTTCACCAGTGATACAGCTTTGTATTCTTTCTTATTTAGGGAACCTTTAAAATTTCTTGCACTTTTTTCTTTCTGATTTATCAATTTCTCAGTAAATAATTTCTGAAACTATAAAGAAAATGTTAAGGACAATTTCTGAGGGCAAACTGTTTTTGAGCAAGTCTAGGACCATCAGCAAGAGACTATATTTCAGGTAAAAACACAAAATGTTCATAATCTATAATAATAAAAGCATCATATGCTAATTAGACTCGACGTCCTTCTAGACAACTTTCCAAATGAAGCCAGAGCTGCAAGGGAAGCCCGGGTCTCAGGTGCCAGAGGAAAGCCAGTGCAGGCAGCCAGGGGAAGGAAGGCCTACTCTTGCACAAATTTCATGAAATTTGCTAATTTCATGATTTAGGGGGGTACCTAAATCCAGCCTGCACCCTCTCGAAGTCTGGAAGCCCTCATGGGGTGTCGGACTGGGAACAGTCCCACGCCATCAGTTGGACACCTTAGCACTGCCGTAGAGGCGGGTCACTGTGTGCACCTGCCATCAGCCTGGCTTGTGCCTGAGCCACTGACCACCAAGTTAACCAGCCAGCAAGGAACCAAGGGAGGGCTTCAGGGCATGTCCAGCCCATGTCTCTCAGTCCCGATCAGCCAGCCCCCAGCAGCAAGCTAACCTACAGGTAGGAGTGTCTGTGCACTGTGCATGTCATAGCAAGCAGTTGAGCAGCCTTACCATATCATTAGAATATTACACTTAGATTGGTTGAATGGCCAACTGGACAGCTGGACACTCATAGAGCATATTAGGCTTTTATTATATAGGACTTCTTGAATGGAATAGAAATTTCAGTATGCAACATACTTATTCCAAAGAAAATAACTTACCGTAGTCAGAAAGAGTGCAGGCATGAGCAAATGACAGTAGCATATCCAGCATTGACACAGTGTCAGACAATTTATATAAACAATGAATATGTTCATAAATTTCACTAAGCAGTTTGCACACTATCCTGAAAGTACACATTTGGTAAGATAAGTCATTCTTTTTAAAGAGGAGAATACTATGAAATTGTAAAACAATATTAAATTCATTGCCTCAGGTAAAATAACATTCAAATTTGAACTATACACTAAAGATAAGTCTACTTTCTCATTACAGACATACTCAAGGTCATAGCTACTTAGTAGCAAAACCATCTCTGGTGTGTGAGCACCATGTTTTTTAAATGACTGGTTTTTATTAAATCTTAATGAAGTAAACTTTTATTAATAAAAATATTTTATATAGGTTAAGTGTTTACTATATTTCAACATATTCCATTTGCTAATAATTTTGTGATTTTTGTATATGTCAAATTCTCCACAAAATGTATTTTCTATCATGTATTTTCTCTCACCCATATATTCTCTCTCACACACATATACACTTTAACAGCATAATTATTTAAGTTTTTATGTGGTAGAGTTAACATAATTGTGACATAATATAAAAGTTTTTCCCTTACAAGGAAAAATATATTCCCAAAATGTACTGCATCAAGTAATATTTGTGGTCTCTGCTATGAAATTGTTTGGAAAGCCCAATATTTATCTTTATCATCTCAGTTCACCAATTCTAAACATCCTATTTCTTATTTCTAGCTAAACTGCTAATGTTTTATGAAGAGCAAGAGACTGACATTTCTGTGATGCTGCTGTATAAGTAGTAAAGCATGCAAAGTGGAAGTTCTATAACATAGTAAACTGAATAAAATCCCAAATAAGATCAGGATGTGCCAAGTTCTACATTATGGTGGAAGTATCAGTAGTAACAAGGTTATTTGGTAATTAAATTTGCCCTAAGGCTTCTGTGAGACTCACTAATCCTGATCACAATAACAAAGTTTGTTTGTCCAGCAAATGTTCTTTCTTTACATTTATTTTGCAGTCAGATAAAAAGTAAATTAATGAAATTTATTATAGTGACTCAAATGAAAGCAATTTAATTCAATATTTAAAAATTTCAAATGCTCTTACATGTAAGTCATATGATAGATTTCTCTCAATGACTCTTGGCATCTTTCATTCATTTTAATTAAATCTGCTGATGTAAAGCTATAAGAATTTTTCACTTTAGAGATCTGTCCAAAAATTTTAAAAAAAGAAGTCAAGATAGAGGTACACTCCTATGAAATAAAGCATACATATCTTAAACAATAAAAATACAGATATTTAGGTTAGTCATTTTAATTTTTCAGATATAGTTTCTTAGAAAAAGTACCAAATAATGTTTGTGAATGAGAAAAGATCACATCTAAGGTTAAAACAGAATTTTTTAACTTAGTCCATTGACATGATTTTTTTTATGTCTTAAAATGACTGTATAAAAATGTTTATTTTAAAGTCTTTTTATCAAGTAATATGCAGAATACATATTAGTAGTCCTCACTCCATCTCTGACTCTTGTTTTAGACCTTGTCCCATAACTAATCCCATTACCAAATCTCACTCCATTCTTCACTTCATCCATCCACATTACTTGGTATTACAGTATATATTTTAAAACCCTGAAATTTAAATGGTTTGTTTTTTTTTTGTCAAAAGGGACTCCCTTGGAGCAGAGAAAGCAAATATCATATTAGAGTAGGTTAGATGTTCCCTAAGTGGCATATTATGGAGGAGTTAATATGTATATAAGAAAAAATATTTCCCTGTTCCAAAAGTTGGGCAATATTGGATCAAAACAAGTTAAGTATATTTTTCTACTTTTAAAACTTTAATAGGCAAATGTGCACTGCAAAACTACCTAAAATGAGATGAAACAGTATTTTCTAAATTTCTTTGATCATAAATATCTTCATTTTCCTTTTTTACCATTTTTACCAAGCTCCCAGAACTGTGGAAAGCACTGCTTGGTATTTCTCTTTAAAAAAATGCTCATAAATCACTTTTAGATTAATATAGCTGTTAGATAGATATGTAGGAATAGGAGAGGCAATATACAGAACATTAGTAAATTTGGCACGTAAAACTCAAAATATGTATACGTAATCCTGAAAAATCAGAAACCATAATCTCCTAACCAAGCTCTAGATTGTACCTTAATAAACTCTGAAGGAAGTTGATCATTGGGTAGGGCTGCACAATCTATAGTCATCTGAATGAAAAATCCTCTAGCAGAGCTAAAACTTGTCCTTAAAGGAAGACTATATTTTTCTGCTAGCTGCGATATCATTCCTAGTGACCAGAAAAAAAATAAAAATAAAAAAATAAAAATAAATTTTAATGAGAAATTATTTTTTCTGTTTAAAAATATCACATTCACTTTTTATTTTACATATAAATAGGAAGGTCTTGTTACACTTTTAAACTCTAAATATTATTAATGTCTAAAATATCTGGTTAAGTATTTTCTTTTTAAAATTGTAGAGCAAAGCTAGTCATTTTGATTTGTATTTTGAAAGTAAAAATAATTGTAAAACTTAAAATAAAATAAAACTAAGACTATTTTATACTCCCTGTATTAGGAATATTAGGGTGTGTGTGTTGTTTTTTATTGATTAAGGTATTACATTTGTCCTTATGCTCCCATTGCTTCCCTATCCCACTCCTGTTCATCCCTTCATCCCCCTGGTGTCTGTGTCCATTGGTTATGCTTATATGCATTCATATAAGTCCTTTAGAAATATTAGTTTTTTTATTCATTCTATTTTTTTAAAAGAGAACACATAAATTATTGCAATAATTACTTCACAATAAGAAATACCCTCTATAAAACATATTTTACAAAACAAAATATTCCAGCTCTGGCCAGTGTTAGATAATTGATGTGTCCCTCTCATAAACATGTTTCTGTACAAGAATGTTTCTGTTTTATGTACTCATAACTGTAAATTGACTTTTGCTCACACCTGTATTTGTTAAATTACTGTACTGGCTCAAATGCATCTCTTCTACGTAAAAATAATATCTCTCCCTCCACTGAAACCCTTTAATACTGATACCCTGCACTTTTTAATGTAGTTTCTATGTTCTATAAGGATACTTCTATATATAACTTTGGAGAAAAAAACAGACATAACACTGTAATGTTTATTTTTTAAAATATTCCTTAAATGATAATATGTGTTAACTTTACCTGTTTGATAAAAAACAAATTAAAAGCATTCACAGCAGGTTATCACCAGCAAAAAAGCATAACATGTCTAAAAGTTTTTCTTTCTAAAAAAAACAAAAAATATGCATAATTAAATTACCTGCTATGTCATCTACAATCTCGGTATATGTTCTTCTAGCTATGTCGAGAAATTCATTTATATTAGACCTCACTGCATAACACTTTTGAGTCCTCATGTTCAAGCATCCTTTCATGTACCTTGCATCATCATTAATTACTGTTTTAATCTTTTCAAGTATGATTCCAAACCTAAAAAAAGAATATTACAGGCAATAAGTAAAATAGTTATAATTCATTATTTGAGTCATAGTTAATCATAACAATATTATCTTAAATCACTGTTGAAAATAAATAATTAAGCAATATATATTTAAATTTACATAAGTTAGCACTTTGACTATGACAATTTTAAACTACTTTGTTGGACTAGATTCTTAAAATAATATAAGGCCACCAAGAGTGATTCTACAACTGCTAGTAAATAGATCTCCCAAATTATACATACTGACTATGCCCATGAATATAAAATGTAACCTGGAACAACCGTTAAAAAATTTCTGGCTTCATGTTCATTGATTCAATAAACACTTGCTTATACTATGTATTAAGCACTTTGTTAGGTGCAGAGATTCAAAGAAGGATTGACATGGTCCTCACATTTAATGAGGACAAGGAAGACTAAACATATATTGTGAGACAGTATACAAGTGATTAAGTAAACCAGAAGTCTAACATTTTGTTTATTATTCTGTACTGCATTTTATTTGTAATTAATTCAGTTGTATTATGAACCCCAATTTGTAGGCTTACATAAGATCTGAATCTTAAATCAATGAAATAACAGTTCTTAAGTATCAAGTTTTTTTGGTCATGAACCAAGGTGCTACTGCTATAAACAATATTAAAATTAAATTGTATTTAGATCTTATTTAGTATTCATGTCTACTATTTTTGGTTATATTAGGCCCTTCATGATTTAACAAAAGAGAAAATATCTTATATAAAATAAAAATGTAATATGTAAATTAATCATCACACTCTCACAAGATAGCTGCCTTTGACCAGGTTAGCAAGGGGGTTAGTGAGGGATGACCAAACAACTGAACAGCAGGCTGTGTGGGGGACCAGGCCGGTAGGGGTGCGAGGGGCCATGAGGGGTGACCAGGCCAGCAGAGGGGGGCAGTTGGGGCAACCAGACCAGTAGGGGGGTGCAGTTGGGAGTGACCAGGCCAGCAGAGGGGGCAGTTAGGGTCGACCAGGCTGGCAGGGAGGGAGAAGTTGGGGGCAATGTGGCTGGCAGTGGGGGAGTTAGAGGTGACCAGACTGGCAGAGGAGGGGCAGTTAGGGGCAATCAGGCTGCCACGTAGAGGCAGTGCGGGGCAATCAGGCAGGAAGGGGAGGGCAGTTAGGGGTGACCAGGCAGGCAGGCAGGCAAGTGAGTGATTAGGAGCCAGCAGTCCAGGATTGTGAGAGGTATGTCCGACTGTCAATTTAGGACATTCCTGAGGGGTCCCAGATTGGAGAGGGTTAGGCTGGGCTGAGGGGATCCCCTCACCATGCACAAATTTTGTGCACCAGGCTTCTAATATTTTTATATTTGTAAGTCTTTCCATAAGAAAATGGCTAAAAATATATACTAAAATTGTGTATGATTTTTAATGCTACTCTAATTGTCCATTAACATGATATTGCTCTACTTATTGGTATTTACAAGGTAAAATGTATAGTTAGAATTGAAGAATAGTTTAAAGGATCTATTAACTAAAGCTCAAGTAATTATCCTACAAAATACAGAATTCTTAAAAATTAGTGACAATCAGGAAAAGAGGAATAATCTGATATTTGATTAACAATTGAGTGACAAAGACCTTTTATCTTCCAAGGAACCATAGTAAGCTCTTAATAAAGGTGTATTACAGTTCTCCAGAGCAATCTATTAAATAAAATAAAGATAGTTAAGGATAATGAATTTTGACATTATTCACACATTGCATCTTACATTTGTTCAATACTTTAAAGCTTACCAAGTGCTTTCTTACTTCATCTTCTCAATTATATACTCATAAAACATACTTTAGATATGTAGGTGAAGACAGATGGTATCTTTCCCATTTTCCATATTAAGAGCATAGGTCCAATAAGTGGCCTCCATTGCTTCATTATTATGACTTATTTTTCGGTCTCCCAACTAACTGTTAATACCCACTACTTATCAGAGGTAGGTAAATAGCTATCATTATACATTCGGAGTAATGAACATAAAATTCTAAAATTTGCATTAAATTTACATTAAACTAAAAAAGTACTCTGTATATTAAAAAATAGAGCAATTTCTCCATTCTTATATTGTAAAGTTTGGATTTTATTTTGCTCAATGGTTACTATAAATTTCATTACTTGAGTAAACAAAACAGGAGGACAAAAAAGTAAAAGTGCTGTGAGGCAATGGCAATATTTTTTTGTTTATTAATAAAATATAACATTTATACACTGATAAAAACTAAAAATCTCAGGAAAACTTTTAAATCACTCATAATTCTACCACCCTTCCAAAGATAAATAATCTAAATATTATGATACATTTCCTGTCACCTCTTTAAAAGAAAAAATCATTGTATGTTCCTTTTCTCCTTCACTTAATACTATATGATAAGCATTTAAAAAACTTTTATAGTAACAATTTTAAATAATTCTTAATATTTATTCCACCCTGAAGGAAGCAAGTTGTCTTTTCCCCTAGTTATTAGAGTTCTAGGCTTCTTATAATTTCTAATATAAATAATGCTGCAATTACCATCACTAGGCATAAATCTTGATCAACATTTCTTAAGAGTTATTTCAGACAGATTTCTAGATGTAGTATTACCAGATTTAAAAACAAAACAAAACAAAACAAAAACAAAAACTTGTTTCAAAAATTTCCTGTAAAACATGTTCAATCTATTCCTGCCAGCTACGTAGTTGCCTGTCTCACTGTTCTCTCAATAGCAGTAAGTTGCACTTTGATTTTTTATTTTGAAGTCATTTTCCTTATTTCCACTGTCATTCCAGTATTTTCTTTAAAATTATACAACTTTTATATGATTATAGAAATTAATATTTTGTCTTCCTTTCACTATAAATTTTTCCTGAAGTTCTTTGGCTTTTACTTTGCCTTTGAAATAACAAAATTTGAAATTTGTTTAATCAAATATATCAATTTGGGGAGATTTATTACTATAACACTTTCATTCTAAGAAAGATGACAATGATTTTGAAATATTTTGCCAAATTTCTTTTATTATATATTTACAAGAATGAACTCTATAACAATTGTTCCATATTTTTCATTATTTTTTCTTTTAAAACAGTTCTTTTTGCCACTTTCATTTTAAAAATATTTTACACAGTATAGTATTTAAAAATTGATAAGAAAAATCACCATTTTGTGAACAACAGAGTAGCAATTACTTTAGGTAAGAGTTGCATCCTAACCCATTTGGCTCAGTGGATAGAACGTCCCCCTGCAGACTAAAGGGTCCCCAGTGTGATTCCCATTAAGGGCATGTACCTCGTTTGCAGGCTGGATCCTTGGGCAGGGCTCATGCAGCAGGCAACCAATTGATATATCTCTCTCACATTGATGTTTCTCTCTCTGTCTCTCCCCCTCCCTTCCACTCTTTCTAAAAATCAATGGAAAAATTAACTTTGGTGAGGATTATAAAACAAAGAGAGAGTTGCAATAAATACTAAAATCAATGAGTAAAAGTCTGATGAGAAAAAGGATATTTACAGTCTCAAAGTATTTCTTCAAACATTACTTATAACTTTAAAAATAGGAAAATGACATTGTCATGAGAAAGATACATTTTATAGAGTATTACTGCCAATATGCATAAGCTGAATTTAACCATCCTACCTAATAAAAGAGTAATATGCAAATTAACCATCACTCTGCTCCACAAGCCACACCCACCAGTCAATCAAAGTGAGTATGCAAATAAACCCAAGCAAGATGGCTAAAGCCAGAGAGCAGGAGGGAGGCGCTTCCCTGGCAAAGGAGGAAGCCAAACTTTCTGCCTGCCCTTGCCAACCTAAGCAAGGTTCACTTAAGGCTACAAAATTTCAATTTCATTCTGTAATACTACATCAAAGTAAACAAATCCAAACTGCCACCACTGAGCAAGTAGGAGGCTTGGCTCTGCTCCAGGCTACAAAGTTTCAATTGTAGAAAGTAAATAAATCCCAGATACCAGGGCCTCCACTTGGGTCACTGTGGGGCATGGCCAGCCTGCAAACCACCACGAGCCCCTCGCTCAGGCTGCCCCATGCCCCAAGGGAACCCCCACACTGATCCAGGACACCCTTCAGGGCAAACCTGCTGGCATCCACCCATGCACTAGGCCTCTATCCTATCTAATAAAAGAGTAATATGCAAATTGACCATCACTCCAACACACAATATGGCTGCCCCCATGTGGTCAAAGATCCTGCCCCTATGTGGACACAAGATTGCCAGCAGGGGAGGGCAGTTGGGAGGCACCAGGCCTGCAGGGAGGGCAGTTGAGAGGGACCAGGCCTGCAAGGGAGGGCAGTTGAAGGCAATCAACTCTGCAGGGAAGGGCAGTTAGGGGTGACCAGACCGGCAGAGGAGGAAAGTTGGGGGCAAACGGGCTGTCAGGGGAGCAGTTAGACATCAATCAGGCTGGTATGGGAGTGGTTAGGGGATGATCAGACTGGCAGGCAGAAGTGGTTAGGTACAATCAGGAAGGCAGGAAAGCAAGCAGTTGGGAGCCAGCTGTCCTGGATGTCCCAGATTGGAGAGGGTGCAGGCTAGGCTGAGGGATAATCCCCCCTACCCCCATGCAAGAATTTCGTGCACCGGGCCTCTAGTGAATAATCAAACAAATTAAAGAATATCTTATAAAACAACTGGCCCTTCCTCTTCAAAATGTCAATATCATAACAAAGAAATGCTGAGAAACGTTTCAATGTAAAGGAGTATATAAAATCCTAAGATTTTTCATTATATAACAGTAGTCTACTAATGCTACATATCCTGAATTTTATAATCATATGTTTTTGGTAAAAGGAACATTTTTGTTCTTAGGAGATAAACACTTTAGTATTTAGGTTCTATAACTTATTTTCAAATAGCTCAGTAAAAATAGTAATAGTAAGGCCCTAGCTGTTTTGGCTCAGTGGATAGAGTGTCAGCCTGTGGACTGAAGGGTCCCAGGTTTAATTCCAATCAAGAACACATGTCCAGGTTAAAGGCTACATCCTAAGTAGGAGACATACAAGAGCAAACCAATCAATGATTCTCTCTCATCATTGTTGTTTCTATCTCTCCCGCTCCCATCCTCTCTGAAATAAATAACAATTAAAAACAAACAAAAAACAGTATATCTGAAATTCAAAAAATTATAATAGTTATACTATGTGTATGTGTTGTGCATGTAAAGATAGAGAATATGGGAATTAATTATACTATTCTTTTTTTTAATATAGTTTATAGATTTTTTTTTTTTTTTTTACAGAGAGAAAGGGAGAGAGATAGAGAGCTAGAAACGTCAATGAGAGAGAAACATCGACCAGCTGCCTCTTGCACACCCCTTACTAGGGATGTGCCTGAAACCAAAGTACATGCCCTTGACCGGAATCGAACCTGGGACCTTATGTCCGCAGACCGACGCTCTACCACTGAACCAAACTGGTTTCGGCAAGTTATACTATTCTTACAATTTTTTCTGAGTGTGAAATTTCTGCAAAACAAAAAGTTTAAAAATACAGATTACTAGACATGTTTTGTACAATATACACACACACATAAATTACCTTTAAAGGATCCACAAGTTCTAAGGTATGTTTTAGGTATATTAAATTTGTTATTTTTGATTCAGCTGCATTAACCTATTAAAATAAAAATCCAAATGTGAATACCATAAATATTTAATACAAAAATGTACTTTTCAAAAAAATATGTTTTCCTCTAAAACATTCCATGCTTATCGTATTTCATATATTTTTTGTATATCAATCAAGCCAAGATACCTGCCAGCCTAAACACTGTTTAGAAATTACTGATCTATCATAATAAGACTAGCACACTAGTCTCCTGAAAGTCTCCTGAAAGTCAATGAAAAATAGTTCACATCATTGTACCCAATTTTCATTTCTATTTAGGCTCCTTGATCTACCTTAACCCATAGTAGTGATGGGAAATACAGTTCAATTCTGAGCAAAAGGATTAGTTGAAAAAGGCAAAAAGAGCATTTCTGGATAGATTATATTTTATAAAGCTGAATCCAAACAACCCAGATAATTACAAAACAACACAAATTTCTCTTATTGATTCCTATTTGTTCAAATAAAATAATTTTCATAATTCCAGTGGCCCAAATGACTTAGTTTTTCAAAATAAAACACCAGCATCCTAAATTTTATAAATAAATATTTTAGAAGTTAAATCATAGAGCAATCTCTAAAGTGGTACTAAACCTGAGGAAATGAGAAAGTTCTCATGGATGGACTATAATACTTTACCAATTCTAACAAAAACTTTAGGTATATTACTATTAAGATATAGTAGTAATTAATATGGCACTGTTTCTTTTTGAAATCTCTGACTTTTTTCCCCATTGTACACATAATATCTTAACTGTTCTGTCATCAGATGGGTCAATTTAAAAGAAATACCAAAACGTAGGTTTGTGGCCCTAAAACAAGTTATCTCATGCTCTCTTATAATGGATCTCTGAAATGGAAGATTAAAAATAAATAAAATTCATCAAACAGAAGACAACTATTATTACTATCACCAAAGGAAAACATCTTCCAAAAATAGCCAAAACAACCTTATATAAGAACAAGGTAAAAGAATTAAATCTAACAAAAATCAATTTCTAATAGTTAAGAGTAACTTAGAAACTGTGATATTGGCATAAGGACAGACAGAGACCATTGAAACCAAATGGAGACTACAAATAAACCCAATAAATTTTGTGTACTTGATTTATGACAAAGGTGGAAGAAAGGACAGTCTTTTCCACAAATGATGTCAATACAATTATGAATCTATAGAGAGAAAAATAAAATGTGGTCCTTTCCTCATACCACATATAAAAATCAATCCAAGGCAGATTGTAAATCTAAATATTAAAAAAACAATAAAACATCAGGAATATAACAAAGAAGATCATCTTCATTACCTGTTTGTTTGAATCAGTTAATTAATGACGTGGCATCCATTCATCACAGAGCCTAACAATGACCAAAATTGTTTACATCTCCCCTATGGTCTTGGCTTTTATGGAGGCCTCTAACCACAAACTCCAACATCTATGTTTTATATTCTACCCAACAGGGGATTCTTCCACCTAACAACTTCCCATTTTAATAAAGACTTTTGCAATGTTTTTCCCTCACTCCTTTTGACTCCTGACCAACCCTAATATTTTCCCATGTGATCTTGTATGGCATGCTCCCTCTTCTCAGTAATAAAAAAATTTTAATGTCAGCCTTACTATATCATCACTCAGTCACCTCCATAAGTTAAAATCCAATGGATGCAATCAAAACATTGGGTTAGAAAAAACTTCTTAATCAGGATACAACAAATACTAACTACAAAGGGAAAAACATAAACTAGACTACATTTAAATTAAGAGTTTCTATTCATCAAAAGATATCACTGACTCAGGACCAGTTCTCCAAAAGCCAAGTTTGAGAAACTAGAATTTGAGGGCAAGTAATGTATTTGAAAAATCACTTCAGTAAGCAGAAGTGAGAAGGGAAGAGGACAGCACAAGAGGATGCCTTGATGATCCAGTTACTGCTGCATAGTACTATGGCTCAGATCTGTCAGAGATGGTACAAGATAAGCTTCAGAAGCTATCTCCACAGATAAGAAAATGAATTTTTATTCACCTACTCCTGATCAGTATTGGTTATAACCTATTGCCAGAGCAACGACTCTGTTCTCTCCTGTAGCCAGAGAGAGTCCTCAGGCAGTGTCAGCTACTTGCAATAAGAAGCCTTTCTTATACAAAAGTGAATGCCAAGGGGTTGTGACATCAAAAGCCTCTATACCACAATATTGAGTGGGAAAAGCAAACTAAAAAGTGGGAAAAGATAACTGCAACAAAGAACCAATAAAGGACTCATATCCTATATAATAAAGAGGAAAATGCAAATAGACCATCACTCCACCACAAAGATGGAAGCTCCCACAGCGGAGGCATGGTTTCAGTAACACAAGATGGCTACACCCACAGTAGAGGCCAAGTTCCCATAAGGAGCCTTAATTAGCAATCAGCAGGGACCTGAGCTGCGGCTCCCCTACCCCCTTGGGGCTTGACAGGGAACCTCAGGCCGCACCCCCCAGTCAGCAGGGATTGATGGGGGACTTCAAGATGCACCCTTTCCTGCCCCAGTGCTGGGCCAGGGGTCCTCAGGCTGCTCCCCTCACCCGAGGCCAGGTGACCTCAGGCCGTGTCCCCTGCCCAGCAGGGCTTGATGGGGGACCTGAGGCTATGGCCCCTTCCCAGCAACAGGCCCGGGGACCTGAAGCTGTGTCCCCTGCCTGGCGGGGCTTGATGGGGGACCTCAGGCCACACTCCCACCGCACCCTAGGCTGGTGGACCTCAGGTCATACCCCCAACCCTGGTTGCAGGCCAGGGGACTTGAGGCTGCGCCCCCCCGCCTGGCGGGGCTTGACAAGGGTGGGACCAGTGGGTCTGGATCTAGCCCAATGGGGTGCCAGCCAGGTCTAGGTCTCACGTGATTTTGAGATACACGTGAGGGCAGGGAGACTTGACTCTGGATCCTGTGGTGTGCCCCAGACTCTGACAGGAGAAAGGGTTTCATATACATTTTACTAATTTTCTTTCATCTCTAACACTTCTATTATAAAGGGCAAATATCAATATTAAAATATTTTCTCTAATTTCTCCTTTTAATGTGCACAGATTTCTTGCAATGGGCCACTAGTCTAAAATATAAAAAGAAATTCTACAAGTCACAAAAGAAGAAAAACAACCCTAGAGGAAAATGAGCAAGAGACTTGAATAAGACTTTCACAAAAGTATTCAAGTGGTCTATGTACATTTGAAAGTGGTCTATGTTCATCTTCAGTAATAGAAAAATGTAAATTAAAACCACAATAAAATACCATTATTTGCCAATTTCTGTGCCTCAGGCAGTGTCAGCTTTAAGAGTTTTAAACTGACAATATCACATTTTGTTAAAGAACAATAAGAATTTTCATAGACTGCTGATAATATAAGTTGTGCAATGATTGTGAAAAACATTTTGGCAAATGTTTTGTCATTATCTCCTGAAGATGAAGATATATAATACATTCTCCATGACCCCAAAATTCCACTTCTAAGTATGAACCCAGAAAAAGTGTGTAAACAATTGATATTGTCTATCAGAATTAGTTCTAATTTCCAAAAACTGTTAACAACTCAAAAAGTCAAACAACAGTGAAAGGAGTAATGGCATATTCATACAATGAAATATTATTTCACAATAGAAATAAATGAGCTATATCTACATACAACATGATTAAATCTCACAAACATAATATTGATTAAAAGAATTCAGATGTAAAAAATAAAAATTGAGAGATTACCATTTCCCCGAAAATAAGAGTGTCTTATATTAATTTTTGCTCCCAAAGATGCACTAGGTCTTATTTTCAGGGGATGTCTTATTTTTCCATGAAGAAGAATACAGTACACATTTATTGTTAAATGAAAATAAAGGAAATTTATTACCTGTATATGGTACGGTAGTACGGTAGTTGTCAACACAAACCAGACAAACTGTGAATCCTACAGTTTCAAGAATTTACTCATTTATTCAATGACAATCATGTCATCATCTTCTGGAACATCATCATAACAATCCAATTCCTGAATTTCCTGGTGAATTTCTTGCGACTCCATTTCTTTCAGAATCAGTGGACCAAATCTCTCATGTTTAGCCTAGGGGGAGCCTTATTTTCGGGGGGATGCCTTATATTTCACTCAGAAGGAAACCTGTAAGTAGGTCTTATTTTCGGAGGATGTCTTATTTTCAGGGAAACACGGTAGTATGTAAAGATTTTAAAATAGGCAAAATTAAATTATAAAAAAAATTTGAGCTGGGACCGGTTTGGCACAGTGGATAGAGCGTTGGCCTATGGACTGAAAGGTCTCAGGTTCGATTCTGGTCAAGGGCATGTACCTTGGTTGCGGTCACATCCCCAGTAGGGGGTGTGCAAGAGGCAGCTGGTCGATGATTCTCTCTCATCGATGTTTCTAACTCTCTATCCCTCTCTCTTCCTCTCTGTAAAAAATCAATAAAATATATTTTTAAAAAATTGAGGGATTTTTGAAAGAGGTAGAAAATAAGATGGGAAGGAGCAAAGGGCATTTTTGAAGTAATACAGTTTCTCTCTCTTTACCTGAGTAGTCATTACATGGATATTCACTTTGTGATAAATCAATGAGCACTGAATTTTGTTTTGTGCAGTTTGCTATGTGTATAGTGCAAGAAAATGCTGATACTCTGGCTACTGCTATAGTTATGAGTACTCAAGCAAGTCCTTTCTACCTGACCCAGGACTCTCAAGTCGTCTATCAGCATCTATGAAACTGTGTTAGGCTAACTTGTTAGTTTTCAAGTAGGATAAAATATAAGATGTCTAATAGTTCTTGATATACTATGCTGTAATTGCCTTTTTTTAAACCTAAATCTCACACTGGATCATTAATTGCTTTGATGTATAAATTTACTTCTTTAGTGTCTCTAGCACTGATCACAATGTTTGATAAAATAAAATCACTTGTTGAATTAATGTAAAAAGGAACCATACACTCATATATGGCAATCTGAAATCAATTGAGAAAAATTAAAAGTTATTCAAAATGAAGCAAAGAAACTAAGATAAAAATTGAAAATTTTGGTTTAATATTGACATTTTCAAATATTAAAGGATTTTAGATGTTTGTAATGAAAAACAAAACTTTCTAATACATTAAGTAGTATGGTCAGCTCGAGCCAGTTTGGCTCAGTGGATGGAGCATCAGCCTGCAGACTGAAAGGTCCCAGGTTCGATTCCAGCCAAGGGCACATGCTTGGGTTATGGACTGAATCCCCAGTAGGGGGCATGCAGACGGCAGCCAATCAATGCTTCTCTCTCATCACTGATGTTTCTCTCTCTCTCCCTCTCCCTTCCTGTCTGAAATCAATAAAGAAATATTTTTTTTTTAAATAGTATGGTCAGAAACATTTTATAGAAAAAAAGGCATTTGGGCCCTTGCCGGTTTGGCTCAGTGCATAGGGTGTCAGCCTGCAGACTGGAGGATCTCAGGTTCAGTTCTGGTCAAGGGCTCAATCCCCAGTAGGGGACATACAGAAGGCAGCTGATCAATGATCTTCCTCATCTTTGATACTTTTTCTCTCTACCTCTCCCTTCCTCTCTGAAATCAATAAAAATATATTTTTTTTAAAAAGGAAAGAACATTTGGGTTAATTCAAATAAAAAAATTTAAGCATTATTCTTCTCAGTAAATACTTAAGATCAGAAAACTGCATTTTCTAAAATCAATATCCTTAAAGGGAAATATAATAACTCATCTTAGGCAAGCAATTCCACACTGAAGATTTTTCAGAGGACATTTAGTTTAGTCAGAATTTTTTGCTTTTAAAGGCCTTAAAAAACCTAGATATCAGTAATGAAGCACTTTTCCAAAAATATTTTAATAATGTCCAATTGTTACATTACATTAAGACAAGTTTTATCACAATGTATAATAATAATATAACCTATAATGTATATATAAACATACCGTGTCTTGCTTTGGAATTTGGACTAAAACAGAAAGAAGCTGCTCCGTATCAAGAAATCTTGCTATAACTAAAACAAAAGATATGAGCATTTGAACTTTGTTAATTTAAAATATAGACTGTGTATCCTCAAATAATAAACCAGAACCATTCTACCTACAAATATTACTTATTTTAGTTATCTTTATCTATCTTACATGTGCTAGGAATAAAATAATAAATAGTCAATTCTTAATTTTGATTACTCACAATCTGTCTTCCAAATTTGACACTGTTGATCACCCCTTCCTTCATGAAATTCTACTTCTCTAACTTTTAGATGTTGCTTCTTATAATTTTCTTCCCACCCTTCAGATCTCTAACTTTTCTTGCTGATACTTAAAAAGATTAGTTTAAAAGCATATTTGGACCACTAATCATGTAATCTTCCAGAAGTTAACTTACTTCCATCTTTTAAATGTGGATAATGACATCTACCTCCTAGGGTTGATGTGAGGATTAAGTGAGATAATGTGTATACAGTATCCTGAACATACCAGAGTTTAAAACTGTTATTTTATTCTTCTCAATTCATTTTCCAGCTTAAAGTATTCTATAAAAATAAATGTATAGATAATTATAATCTCTTTTCAATATACTCAGGTTGTTGTTTCTATCTATCACTCTTCCTTCCTCTTTCTCTAAAAAAATCAATAAAAACGTATCTTAAAAAAAAACTTATGTCACTCACTTCCTGTTCAAACCACCAAGTCTTGTGATAATTTCCAGTGTGCCTACTTCTAGCATTGTGCCCTTTTCTAATTTACCACTTCTACCATAAATTAATTATATTTGAACTGTTTTTAAAAATTAGAGTAAACAGGCTCAGTATATTACTTATACTACTCTTATACTGTTCAATTATGACATTTTACATGTGATTCCACTAGACTCTTAAAGTCCTTAGATTGGCCTTTCTCTTTTTCAGTCTCTTCCTTCTTCCTCTCCCCAAATCTATCACAACAACCAGAATAATGTTTCTAAAATAAAGGTTTGCTCATATTACTCTCTCAGTTTAGAACTGTCAGCTCCCTATGTCCTGCATGACAAAATCCCAATGTCATAGTATTATAGAAAGGTCCTTCATAAGCGAGCCCCAGGGCTCATTTCCTGTTATTCCCCAATGCTTCAAATCATAAATAAGTACTAGCCATATCTTAAATACAGCAAGCTCTTTTATATTAATATAAGTATAACTCTACCTTTTCCAACTTCCCAGAAAAATAAGTGTACCTTACAAAGTAATGAGTGCTTAAGATCACAGCCAATAGGACTCCTACCAGATCTTTATCCCTGCTACCACATTTAAACATATTTTTGGTTATCCCATGTACATTAATAAACCTTGCATAGACATGCTCCCTTTGTCTTGAATATCATTTCTAGGATTCTCTTGTTGTCAAAGTCCTATTATTTCTTAAGACAGAGCTGAAATATTGTCTTTGTGAATCCCATATGTGTTCCCATAAAATATTTAATTATGATTGCATTTATCACACTGCATCACATATTTGGAGGTCTGTTTCCCTAACATGAATTTAAAATCCTTGAGAATAGAAACTTATAACTTAATCTTCCTTATCTTTTTTATCCCTAATGCCTATAAAATACCTACAATAAAGTAATATGGGTCTTTTAAAATAAGTTTTAGATTCTCATATTTTAATAAACTATAAAAATTCTCTCCTACCCTGCTCTATGTTAATGTTCTCCCACTTTTTACATGTTACAATAAATTATAAACTGTCACTATATAGGAAACATAGAAATGGTTGGAGCTTGACTAACATTACATAATTAAATGACTTCAATATTCCTGGCACAGAATGCCAGGTATAGGTAGGCCAACAAGATGTTTCTGTGAACAAGAGTTACCAGTTAAAAATGGCCTCTTTGTACCTTTCCCAAAGTTTTACTAAATATACTAGAATATATAGAAAAATATATTCAACAACATTGGAGTGCACAGTCACAGCCAATATAATGCCAGAATTTTTAAGGAACTATACAAATTTAAATGTATTTGGAACTGGAATGAAGAAAAAATGTTCAGGCTATAAATGCCTTCCAGATTTTCATGTGTCACTTCAGTTTACACTTCCAGTTCACCAGGAGGGTGGTTGAAAAATGGGGGTATGAAAGACAGACCAAGTTCCTAGAAACCAGGAACTGGACTAGGAACAAGGCATACAAAATGTCCTTCCACTTGCAAGTTTAAGAAGAACATTGCACTGCCATGCCAGTGAGCAAATAGCCAGGTGCCATGGGCAATTTTCTTATCTCATGTTATGGGTTGGATTGTGTCCCTTCAATAAGATCTTTTAAAGTCCCAAATCCCCATATCTGTGAATGTGTCCTTATTTGAAAATTAAATCTTTGCAGATGTAATCAAGTTAATAAATAAAGTCACTACGGTGGACTTTAATCTGATTGGTGTCCTTATAAGAAGACAATGTATCCTTCCAATAATTTCTATTTATAAATATTCATTTATCTACCTGACTGAAGTCCAAAGAAGAGTTCCTCATCTTGAAGTAGTTCTTGAACACAATCTAACCTCATGTTAATGGTTTCAATATCAACTAGAGGTTCTAATATATTAGAACGAAGTCTTCTACTCCCTCCAGGAGTCTTAGTGTAATTTAGAACACCAAAGAGAGTGTGATTATTCCTTTGAAAACACAAGTTTGAAAATTTTCATTAAGTATACAAAAGACAAATATAAGAAAATTGTAATTTAAATTTGTAACTAATCCTATAATCTATAGTAATGAATCTCAAACATTAACATGCATACAAATCACATGTGTATTCTGATTCAGGATAGACATGAGATTTAAGAATCTACATTTTGAATAAGCTCCCCAAGTATGCTGTCAGTCAATGAACCATATGTTAATTAATAAGAATCTACTGTATCTTCTTACATTTAACAATTTTTTCATAGATAATTTACCATATTCAGACTAATATAACATGTTCTAATCCAGCGCTAGCCAGTTTGGCTCAGTGGATAGAGTGTCAGCCTGCAGACTGTTTCATTCCAGTCAAGGGCACATGCCCAGGTTGCCTGGGTTGCTCAATTCCCAGTAGGAGGTGTGCAGGAATCAACTGATCAATTATTCTCTCTCATCATTAATGTTTATATATCTCTCTTCTTCTCCCTTCTTCTCTGAAATCAATAAAACTATATTTTAAAAATAAAATTAAATGTTCTAATCCATGACATTCCATTAGTAACTGTAAGATATCAATAATAATCCTATATAATAAAATGATAATATGCAAATTGTCTCCTCCCATCAGGAATTCTACTGGGAGTCTGACCAGGGGTCAGGGCCAGACCACCAATCACCCTCAGTTCTTCCTCCCCATTTCCTCCCCCAACCCGGACTGGCCCGGCCAGATCAGCCCTGATTGGGATGGGCTGACCCCACCCATGCACAAATCTATGCTCCAGGCCTCTCTAGTTGATATAATAAGGATATAATTTTTTTCTGTGAAAAAACATATAATAATATTAATTCATCCTTAGGTGGGGAAAATCTACACATTAATAAAATGAGTAAAATAAATAAATAAATAATAAATAAATAAAATGAGCATTTCATATAATCACTTCATTCTAACTTAAGAAGTTAGAGAATTACAAATGAAAGAAAAAAAATTCAGGTACAGGAACTGTTAAAAACAAACAAACAAAAAAAACCCCACAGACTTCCAGTCAAAATGGCAGGTATTGGTAAATATGCTAATTGCATCCTCTCACCATCACATCAAAACTACAACTAACCTACAAAACAACCATCATTCAGAACATCCTGAAATCTAACAGAACGGAAGTCCTACAACTAAGGATATAAAGAAGAAGCCACCTGAGACTAGTAGGAGGGGTAGAGATGCAAACCAGGCTAGTCCCAAACCTATGGTTAGTGGGTAATTGGGAGGGATATCTCAGCTACAGATATCCCCTCTGAGGAGTGAGAGGTCTCAGTCCCACACCAGGCCCCAGAGACCAGGATTCCAGTGCCAGGAAGAGAAGTCCCCATAACTGTAAAAACTAGCAGGGCCTGACCTGCGTGGCTCAGCATTATCCTATGAAACAGGTCAGATCCCCAATGTGGGACATGCAGGAGACAGCTAACCAATGATTCTCTCTCATCCATTGATGTTTCTCTCTCTCTCCCCCTACCCCTTTCCCTTCCTCTCTAAAATTAATTAAAATATATCTTTTTTTTTTTTAAAGCAAAAAAAATTGTAGCTGAGATTAAAAGATGCTGGAGTTCCAGGCAGTTCCTCTTAAACAGCCCATACATGGACTTACTTGGACTCACTCCCTCTGGGCTCTAGTACCAGAGCAACAGCTGAAAATGCACCAGGGACATGGGGACACAAAATGAATTGTCTGGCATCAGAGTGAGAGCTCAAAGGGCAGAAAAGTGCTGGCAGAGGCCACTGTTCCTTTTCTGAGATACAATGTCCCCTCCACAAAGCCGGCAGGCAGGCACTACGTCTGAGTTTCCACCAACCTGGCTTGCACTATTCTCTCTATGCTGCGATTCCCTGAGATCCTACCCCACCCAACTTGGGGGCCCACCCAAACTGTTTCCAGTGGCTTTTCAATTTGAACAGCTTCTCTTGGCCCATGCTTCAGACTTTCCTAAACTCTCTCAAAACAGCAACATTTGGCCTCTGTTGCCCCATACCTCTCATTAAGTGTCCCAGGCCTGGCACTATAGCAGCAGCCAGCCTTGATTTGTAGCTTGGCCTCTCCAGGGCAGCTCCAAGCCCAGCACAAGAAACAGCCATCTGCAGATCACTTTTATGTCAGATGGCCCCAGGCAGCCCTGGGCAACACACAGGCAGTGGCTTATGCCATTTCCACAAGTATCTTTTAAAAACCTGATTTTGGTGAAACATCTAACAGTTGCACAACAATGCAATTATTGTCCAGCAATCAAATTTTTTAAATGTAAACTATGCATAAAAAATATAACATAATAAAATATGCTGATACATTTTATATTAAAAAATGTGTGATCTTACCTAGAGTCTTGATTATTAACTAGTAATTCAAGATTTTGGGCTGAAGATGAATCTATCATGGCTGTCTGTTCACTACCTTGGAAACAAATCTTCAGCGATTTTGGTGCATAAACTGAATTTTGAATAAATTCAACATATTTTAATAAAGCTGCCACAGCTGCAAGGCAGTAATACCTGTAAGGTGACCCATGATACATCATTATAAATCTTTAGAATAAAAAAAATTGCTATAAGTGAAACATGTATTTCAACTTAGTACTAGAAAAATTATAAATATTTGCATAGCACTGCTCAAATTCAAAGTAGAAAAGTACATTAAGTGTTCCTGATTTTTTTAAAAACAATGTAAATTACCTCTAAAACATAAACCATGATGAAAATGGACAATTTCTGAAGTCTGACACTTAAGGGATACTAAATGTCAATAAATCACATTAGAAATCAGCATTCAATGATAATTTGTGTCAAATTTTTTATGATTTTTATAATAAAAAATCATTTTTATGATTTTTTATGACTTCTAATAATAACATTATCATTGAATGCTGATTTCTAATAATAAAAGTTATTATTAGAAATCAGCATTCAATGATAATTTGTGTCAAATTTTTTATCTAAGTATTTAAATAATGTTGAAAGAGTCTAAGCTTTGAAGGTAAAGTCAGGAGGTCCCAACATATAGATAAGTACATTAATGATTCAGTGTGAATGGTCATTGTAAATTATTGAGTAAACAAGAGGTCACATTATCTACTTAGCCTGTTTTAAGAAATATCCTTTCCAAAAATATCATTCCCTGTCTCATGCTGAATCTTTTAGGAGTAAAGTTATGAAGTAACAGGAACAGAACTTTAATCACATTTCTAGTTTACTAGATAGCTATTGAGCTTTTCACTTCAAAATAAAGCAAGCAGCAACCATTAGGGCAATAGATTATGACTAATTTGGAGAAATTCTATATAAATTAAGTTAGCAGATATGCCTTGCGTACAAATTTTAGTTAACTATTTTACTATTTTAATAATTCCTCAGTTGTATTATAAGCCAGGCACTTTTTGCCCTGGCCAGTGTAGTTAAGTTGGTGCATGCACTGCCCCATGCACCAAAAAGTTGCCTGTTCAATTCCTGGTCAGGGCACATGCTTAGGTTACAGGCTCAATCGCTGCAGGAGGCATGTAGAAGGTGGCCAATAGGTATTGCACTCCCATATATTTTTTTAATATATTTTATTGATTTTTTTACAGAGAGGAAGGGAGAGAGAGAGAGAGCTAGAAACGTCGATGAGAGAGAAACATCGACCAGCTGCCTCTTGTACACCCCCTACCGGGGATGTGCCCACAACCAATATGCCCTTGACTGGAATCGAACCTGGGACCTTTCAGTCCGCAGACCGACGCTCTCCTGCTGAGCCAAACCGGTTTCGGCTGCACTCCCATATTGATGTGTTTTTCTCTCTTCCCCTTTCCCTTCCTCTCTCTTTAAAAATCAATCAATCAATCAATCAATCAATAATCTTTAAAATATTTTTTTAAAAATAAGTCAGGCACTTTTCTAGGTAATAGGAATATAGCAGAGAACAAAACAGACAAAAGACCTTGTCCTTGTAGAACTCACACTAAACATTTATGACATTCTTTAAGTCATAACTTACTTGGACTGAACCTCCATCAAGACAGTGCTGAATTCTGCTATACATAACTGTTCAATGTACTCTAATCCTTTTGTTTCATTGAAGTATTTCCTTTGGACTGTAGTGAAATTTACATTCTAAAAATAAATTTTAATTTCAAAATAAAGTTTAAGTTTCATGCACTTACCCAAAACTAGTTTCTTAAACACATGTGTGTACATAGCTTAAATATTATACAAAGTTTATTTTTATGTCTTCTAGAATTAAAGTTTTCTTATTTATAAAAAAAAAAAAGAATGATTATCTGTCTTAAGTGAAATATAATATAGCCTGTAGCACTTATTAAAGCACCCTCACATTAAATTTAACTGAATATGTTAGGAAAAAATAATAAAAAATAAACATAAGAATATCTTCCTTCTGCCAAAACTGGTTTGGCTCAGTGGATAGAGCATCAGCCTGCAGACTGAAAGGTCCCAAGTTTGATTCTGGTCAAGGGCTTGTACATTGGTTGCGGCACATCCCCAATATGAGGTGTGCAAGAGGCAGCTGATCGATGATTCTCTCTCATCGATGTTTCTAACTCTCTGTCCTTCTCTCTTCCTCTCTATAAAAAATCAATAAAATATACTTTAAAAAAAAAGAATATCTTCCTTCTAGTAATTTTATTCTACAATAACATCATCACACAGGCTTACAACCAGCCTGGCATACTCCATCATAATTAAGAGAACATCCTTATAATGTGCTAGTTGAGGAAAAATGAAAACATCTATTCCATCTATCAAATCTATGAAGTGATATCTTCATGAGGTGAATTTATTTAAAATAAAGAAAAGTTAATAATGGAATTTTTTAAAAGAGAAAATCATGAAGTTGTAGAGCAAAAGGTATATACTTTTTGAATAAAAATTGGTAAGAAAGGTAATTTAACAATGGATTGCTTAAAAGCTGTAGAACTGAAAAAAAATCATAAACAGATAATTTGTTATGTTCCAAGAATGTTTTAACAGTTGTCATTTAATCTGCACAGTAACCCTATGACACAAATCTTATTAGCTACAATTTCTATGTAAGTAAAATTCTGAAAAGTCAAGTCAGTTTTCTCATATCATACAGTTTATATGTCCCAGAGCTAAAACTTGAATTTAGAATCTTTAACTTACAAAGTCTATGTTCCTTCTACTTCACATTGTGTCTGATATAATGAAGGTCTTTTATAGTAAGTGTAGTAATAATGATAATAATATTGATTTTTCCCTCTACTTGTAATACTTTTAACTCAAATACTTCTATGGATTGCTACCTCACTCCATTCAGGACCAAATATAACCTTCTTGATAAAGTCATTTATGATTGCCCTATATAAAAATCAGTTCTCTAGGAGATAGAGATTGTTATTGTCCCCATTTCACTGACTAAAAAAAAAAAAAAAAGAGGAGAGGGAAGATGGCGGAAGAAGGAGAGGGAAGATGGCGGAAGAATAGATGGGCGGTTTCTGAGCCCTCTCCTGAAGCAGAAAGAGAGAGCAACTGATGGTCTTGAGCTGTGAGTGTTTATTAGCAAGCTGGGAGACAGCGAACACCAGAAGAAACTGCTGGGGGGCTGCTGACAGAGGTACCCCTCACAGGGAAGCACCCACGCGGGCTGCGTCCCTGCCCGGAGCTACCTGCCGGCGTGGATAGGGAAACCTCGCCATCTTGAGAGGAAGAAAGGATCGTGTCAGAGGCCTGAATATCAACAGCCGCAGCGACCAACAAGCAACTGTAACCCCCAGAACGCGGATCCCAGGCAGCTCGAACACTGGCCTCACAGGAGTGCCCCACTGCTCGGCGAAAAGGTCAGATTTCGCGGGGAGAGGGTGGAGCGCACTCGCGGGGAAAACAAAGCCAGCGCGCACAGAGCATGCGGAAGCTGGAGGACAAGGGCGGCGATTACAAGTAGAAGCCCCAGCTGTTGGGCGAGTGTCACCCGTGAAAGCGGACGGGGCTCCTAACAGGGGAGATATCTAAAGAGCAACACATTTGGATCTGGCGCGGAGGGGTATCGGAGAGTTGCAGGAGATTGAGGTTGCTCGGACCTGCCCCCTCCCCCCTCCGTAGTTCCTGCTTCAGAGAGGACGGAAAAAAAAAAAAAAAGCTGGAGAGGCTCTAGAGTCTGGGAAGTCAACCTAGAAACACTGCCCCCAGAGGCTAATTCACAAATTGACTCTAGTGTAATAAAAACAAACCAAAACCTGCCTAAAAATCAGGACTGGATCATAACAATAGAGGAAGCGAATGACCTTCATTACTGCAAATTTTATTTAAATTTTTTAAATTTTATTAATTTTTAAATTTTTGTTTTTTATTTTTGTTTTCATTATTTGCAACGTTTACTCAAGAAACTATTTTTTTTCTTTTTCCTCACTTGATTTTATCTTTATAACTACTACATTGTACTACTACTAAGTTACCTTTTTCATCTTATTTTTTTGTTTATTTTTATTATTTTTATTTCATTTGATTTTATATATATATATATATATTTTTTTTTTTTTTTTTAAATTTCAGGATTACTGTTCTACAGGCTTTATCTATCTTTCCTTCTCCAACGCTTTATTCTATCTCAACCTATCCTTTATGCCTTCACCCTCTTTCCAATATTTTCCTTTGGTACCCCGTTTATCTTAACCCTTTCCTGCTCTAGATTTTCCCCATTCCTTCTGTCTACCTCCTCCTAAAATTTCACCCTACTTCTATATATCTAATTTCCAACTACTTGCTCCAAGCCCATTCACACCTCCCTTGCAGTTGTCCTAAAAACAAAACAAAACAAAAGTCTTTCTCTATAACACTTTGAAGTTGTATGTTGAATGTTAACTATACTGAAGTTGTATGCTTTTGTTTATAAGATTGATTTGATATGCTTTTTGTTTGATTGTATGTTTTTGGTAGCTGGGTTCTAGTCACCCTTATTGGTGGTTATTAATATTTCAAACACATCCCGATTCAGTCCCCTGTGTGTTGTACCTGGTTGTGTTGTATTTGGTGCCTTTAAATCAAAGCAGGAGAGAGAGAGAACTACACAACCAGACATCCTAGATCATGGGGAGACCAAAACATAGCCCGCATATGAAAGAAAAGCAGGCCTCACCAGAAAAGGAAGTAAACGAGATAGAGGGAAGCAACCTACCTGAGCAAGAATTCAGAGTAATGATCATAAGATGGCTAAAAAGAATGGAAGACAAATTTGACAATATGAGTAAGAACCAAGAGGAAATGAAGAAGAACCAAGAAGAAATGAAAAATGACATCGCTACTGTAAAGAACTCAATAGAAAGCATCAAGAGTAGATTAGAAGAAGCAGAGGACCGCATCAGCGAGCTAGAAGACAAGATGGAAAAACATACCCAATTAGAACAGCTTCTGGAAAAAAAAATTAAAAAACAGGAGGAAAGTCTAAGGGAACTCTGGGACAATACAAAACAAAACAAAACAAGAGTAATAGGGGTTCCAGAAGGACAGGGAATTGAGGAAGACATGGAAAACGTATTTCAAGAAATAATGACAGAAAACTTTCCTGAGATAGAGAAGAAAAAATCCACACAAATCCAAGATGCTCACAGAGTCCCAAGCAAAATGAACCCCAAAAAATCAACTCCTAGACACATTATAATTAAGCTGGCAAACACCTACGACAAAAAAAGAATTTTAAAAGCAGCCAGAGAGAGACAGAAAGTTACATATAAAGGAACCCCCATCAGACTAGCAACTGATTTCTCCACAGAAACTTATCAGGCCAGAAGGGAATGGGATGAAATATACAAAGTCATGCAAAGGAAGGGTCTGAATCCAAGAATACTGTACCCAGCAAGGCTATCAATCAAAATTGAAGGGGAAATCAGGAGCTTCACAGACAAAAACAGACTAAGGGAATTTATCTCCACCAAACCAGCAATGCAAGAAATGCTAACGGGTCTACTGTAAAGTTAAAGAAACAGAAAGCAAAGAAGGAACACAGAGGTATAGAATAAAAATGGCGTCAAATAAGTATCTATCAATTATAACTTTAAATGTAAATGGACTAAATGCTCCAATCAAAAGACATAGGGTAACGGATTGGATAAGAAAACAAGACCCATATATCTGTTGTCTACAAGAAACCCACCTCAGAAAAAAAGATGCACACAGACTGAGGGTGAAGGGATGGAAAAAGGTTTTCCAGGCGAATGGAAATGGAAAAAAAGCTGGGGTAGCAATACTTATATCTGACAAATTAGATATCAGAGTGAAGGACATAACAAGAGATAATGAAGGTCACTTCATAATACTAAAGGGAGCAATCCAACAAGAAGAAATAACCCTGGTAAATATATATGCACCCAATACGGGAGCACCCCAATATATAAAAAAACTGCTGGAGGACATTAAGGGAGAGATTAATAGCAATACAATCATAGTAGGAGATCTTAATACCCCACTGTCACCCTTTGACAAGTCATCTAAACAAAAAATCAGCAAAGAAATATCAATCCTAAATGACTCGCTAGACCAGATGGAATTAATCGACATCTTCAGAACATTCCACCCCAAAGCCACAGAATATACATTCTTCTCAAGCGCACATGGGTCATTCTCAAAGATAGACCACATTTTGGGACATAGGCAAAGTCTCTTCAAATTCAAGAAGATAGAAATCATATCAAGCATCTTCTCAGATCATAGTGGCATAAAACTGGAAATTAACTACAACGAAAAAAATCCAAAGAAATCAAACACATGGAGACTAAACAGCATGCTATTAAACAAGGACTGGGTTACCAGAGAAATCAAGGAAGAAATTAAAAACATCCTGGAAACAAATGACAATGAAAACACAACTATCCAAAATCTATGGGACACAGCAAAAGCAGTTTTGAGAGGGAAGTTCATATCCCTACAAGCCTATTGCAAAAAACTAGAAAAAAAGGGTAACAAATGATCTAACTCTACAACTCAAAGAGTTAGAAAAAGAGCAACAAGAAAAGCCCAGTGTAAGCAGAAGGAAGGAAATAACAAAAATCAGAGCACAGATAAATGACATAGAGACCAAAGAAACAATACGTAAGATCAACAAAACCAAGAGCTGGTTCTTTGAAAGAATAAACAAGATAGAT